ACTCCATAAATAGTACTCTAAAAAATGTAAATGCAAGATTTTTGACATAGTTTTCTTGATAACTTATTAAAGTTGATAATAGCTCATTAATTGAGTTGTTTTGTTTTACAATATTCAGGAAAACTTTTTGAAAACGGATTTTGAGAGATTCAACACTCTCCACGAGTTTCAGTTTTGTGTGTTTTGCTCGCCTGTGCCCTCTGGCAACAGTGACCACTCTTGTTTGTCAAGGGTTGTTTTCACTTTTATTCCCCCATTCCAAAAAGATTGCATAATCTGTACAAATACCATTCAAGATAAGCCCCCTTCTATTAACACTTTATGAGGCTTCTTCAATCTTAATTTCTAGGACAAGCAGACAAACAAATTTTGCTTTCGTAGTTGTGGAAATTTAAAAAACAAGACAGCATCCTTTTCCCACTCCTGCTCTTTCTCCTGGTTCTGTCACTGGTGTCTCCTCTGCTGCTCCAACTCGGTCATTCCTACAGGCTTTTCTGGCCACCAAAGGATAGCAGGACATCCAGAATGCCATTCTCCGCCCCCGCCTGAAAGCCAGTGGTCACAAGCCTGTGCTTTGTTCCACCCTGGTAGCATCCAGGTGGAATTTAAAATAGAATGGATGGGGACCCAGTTATGTAAAAAGTCACCTCTGGTCTTCTGTTGTATCATGGGAGTTAAGACCAGCTGGGGTGCTTCTGGTATCAGTTTCCAGTACATAAGTCTCTGTGATCTGCAGCAGAAATTCTTACAACAGGGCCCTTAGAAGTCTCGTCCTCTGATGGACTGCCAGAGGCGGACTCCAAGGCATATCTGGGAAGGCAGACTTTTTTGCTGAGTTTCCCAGGGACTGAGAGAAAACTACCAGAAGGAACAAGCTCTCCTGGGGTCTAGGCTAATAATTACAACTGTCCCGGGTGGGAGGTGGGATTTATTGCTGGCCACCTACTTATTTGGTTCAGTTGGCTCAGCTGGTCAGAGATGACCAGAGACAGAGATTCAGTCCCTCAGGAGAGCTCCTTTGAGTGAAATAAAAATGCCGAAAATCTGTTCCTTCCTGGCCTAAATCTCCTTTTCCAGATTATAGCTCAAAACACCTTACTCCCTGCTAGAAAAACGAGTTCAAATACATGCCCTCCTTGTGGAATCAAGAAGCTACAGATGCTTCAGCAACCTGTGCAAACTTGAAGCCATGTGGTGCTTTTCTTAACAGCATTAATTGAATTTTAGGTACCTGGGTTCATGAGATGACAAAACATCAGCTCCCACTTATGAACAATTAATGATACGAAATTTACAACATTGTGTAGATAGGCGCACCTGAAGCTTTAGAATAATATGTGATAACACAGTAAGCACCAGGTCATAATCTATTGGCCAGTCAACATTTTGTCCTCTCTCCAAATTACAGCATCAAAAATAATAAATAGGAAATGACCTTCCTGTTGGCTGCTAAAGAAATAAACAATTTGAAATGTGTAATTGTGCATATGTTTGGATTACCCATCATTGACTTTATTCACAACTCTAAATAGAGAGCATAATCCCCACTAATGATAGCAGAGATGAACCACTTTATATTAAGAAATATAAATTAGATTACAAAAGAGCTCCTCCCTTTCATATTCCAGGATAAATAAAATATCTGTAACTTCTTCTATCCTCTAAATAAAATTTCATATGATCTGAAAAGATTATATTTTAAAGTTCAACCATTTAAAAAGATTTCTGCAATTAAAATAATTCATTTTGACTGAAACCCAGAAGCAAAAGTGAAGCTGAAGATACAAGATGGGGGTCAAAAAACTCTAGCTTGGGCCACCTAGGAACTGGCCCCCTCTCTCAGATAGATAAGCTCTTGTCGATGGCTAAGGTTTCCTCCTCCTAGGAGTGGAAATCCACTAGCAAATGCAGTTTCTCCCCACCCCACCCCACCACTACATACCACCACCTACAACCACACACAACATCTCCCTCCCTCCAATCCTATGGGAACTCCAGTAAGAGATTCAGATCTGAAAGAGAGCTTTTGACAATTTTACTGGTGAGAAAATTGAGGCTCAAAGTTGAAATGAACTGCCCAAGACCAGAACCTGTTGACGGGAGCCCCAGTCACCCAGCTTAGCCCAGTGTTCTTTCCACTGCTCCTCCCAGCCCACAAAAAACAGACAGCAAAGCGGGGGGCAAGGGAAGGGCACTCACGCAGACCACCATCTGCCTCACCTCAGGGAGACCTCCTCAGGAGACCCACCCATTGTCATTTTTGTCTTCAAAGAACAGAACAACCCTTTTGACGAAGAGATCTGTGAACTGTGATATAAAGAACCATGAGATACAAAGAGAAATTTAGACCCTGAGGCCCAGTAACCTAGGATTTGGTCAGAAAAAAAAAATGTGGTTTTTAATTAGGTTATACTGCAGTATGTTGTGGTAGAACGAATAAGGCCTCTAAAATAAGATTGATTTTTGACTCTACTACTCACTAGCTGAGTGACCTTGAGGAAGTTTCTTAATCTCTCCAAATTCATTTCCTTATCTACAAAGCGAGTATCAATTTTGGGGGATTGAAATTTTGTGTGGAGAAAGAGAGAGAGAGGAGAGAGGCAGAGAGAGAATAAGAGTGAGAACTGGGGGCACAGAGGAGGGTCTCAGTGCGTGAAAGTTCACAATGTCTGACACAAAATATCCTTATTGAGCTGCATCAACTCCTGGAAATAAGACTCCTTTGTTTAGAGATCTGGTCAGAATGACCCCTCAAGGCTAAGACCATACAAAAGAGGTACACGACTACTCAGGCCCTGAAATTGGGTCTTCGATTAGAAAATGGTTGACCCAGTGGTCTTAGACTCTAAGAATAGGATTTTCTGGGTGTTCCTCTAAAGGCTTTATCTGGATGCCTGGCCAGGGCTGGATCTCTAGAGTAATAAAGAAAGTGACATTCAGAGGACTCCCTCTTGCAAACTAGATTATGAATCCTCCTATGTGTGTTCATGGCACACTACACTTCCCCCATTTGTCGCACTGTATTGTAATTGCCTGCTGACTTGTCTGTCTTGCCAACTAGACTGGGAACTCCACTGCCATTTCAGTTCAGTGCTATCCCCACTTTTCAACCCTCAATAGAGGCTCAATATATATCTTTAAGTAAAAAACATCCAAAAACTTCCTTAAAACATCTACCACCATTGGCCCTAAAATCAGTGTAAAGTATTAATGTTTTCCACATCCCCAATCTGAAACTGCTTTCTCCCCACTCCCTGCTTTCCCTGAAAAGGAAATCACTTCTCTAGTTTCAACATTTAGGCCACTTAGGTATCTGCTCAGGCTGTTCCTCATCATGTTAATCCATTCGATAAACTGTGTTCAAAACCAGGATCTCATGTACTGGGCCCAATGGCGGGGGTACCACAATGAATGCTCCATGATCCCTCCTGGAGAGGCTCACAGAATAAAGTGAGTTTGGATGAAGGCTCTGAGTTTCAGAGAGGCCACTAGCCATTAGCCAAAATATTTCTGGATCAGTAACTACACCCTATCATCAACTTGACTCTTTAAAAATTACAATGTGGCTTTAGGATCTGGTACATAGTGTTCAGTCAATAAATATTTGTTGGATAAGAGAATGAATGGGATAGGATGGGAAGTTCAGTGAGATTTTAGTGCTCTGGGCTGATATAGGAGATATGCAGCAAATAAAATCCTTTATTCAAGCATAAAGCAAGTAAAGCAAATCTTTTACTTGAGCAAGTCTAGATTTTGGCACCCACTAAACAGGTAGGTCCACTCTAGAGTTTACTAACATTTCAGAAGTCCTCTGAGGAGCAGGTTGATGCCTCTCAGAAACGTTTCCTGTCACCAACTGGATGAGGCAGGGCATTCTGATACCACAGCTCAGCGTGTCCCATTTGCCTTCAGACTTCTCCCTGAGATCTCCTAGCCAGCAAAAAGCCGGTTAACGAAACTTCCTAAACTGCCAGGCACCACAACACTCTGCTGCTCCCAAACTCTCCGGGCTTCGAAGAGTACCTCACTGGAATCTATACTCTCCTTCACTGATAATCTCAAATTATTTTGTTTTAGACTTGTCTTCATGGCTGGTTCCCCCTTAAGGGAAGGGGTCTTGTCTTTACAAATTCCCACAGTACCAGGCACACAAGTAGGTGTTTAATAAAGTAAGTTTTTACAGTTTGTCTTCAGTGTGTATCTAGCCCTGTCCAAGGTCTCTAGGAGAGCCATAAGGTGAACCGGGAGAAGGGTAAGGCCACCCCCTCGTCTATTCGGGAGCTCTGCAGACAGCTCTCACTCACGTTCCTTTTCTGTCCTCCATCTTCCGACGGTGATCTCAAGGACTGCAGAAAATAAGACAAACCGGGAAAACGAAATCATATATCACAATTTAAACATGGTAGATTAGATGCTAGGCTGGAACCTTCCCTTTCACCAAAAATAAATGCCAACCTAAATGACGACGATCTTAAGCCTGACAGGATTTCACCCGTCCTCTAAATTCTTCTGACGCGTTGAGACCTCAAGAAGGGTGTTGAAAGGTCAACTTGTTTGGTACCAACTCTGACTCAAAGATTACTGTCCTGTGAGGTGAAGGACAGGAAAGACACGGGGAAAGTGAGTTTTTCCAGCCGCTCCACCCGGAGGGCAATTAATCCAAATACGATTGGCGTGGGTGGAACTCAAACATCTCCCATTCAGCCCACGCCTTCACCCAGGGTTGCTAAAACAGAAGCGCTCCTATCAGTCTTGGGGTTGAATCAATACGTCTCACGCAGAGATCCGCTCTCAGGAGACTGTGACAGGAGGAAAGGTCAAGAACACACCCGGGTTTGACGCGCTGTCCAGGAGCAGCAGGCCCCGAGCGCCCCCCGCGGAGCCTGCTCTCAGCCAATGGGAGCTTGAGCTCCGGGGATGATGAGACGCGGGGCCGAGGCTGGGCCAATCAGGCTCCAAGAGCTGCCAGGGGGAGGAGATGGGAGGAGAGGCCGGGGGCGATGGAGACAGAGCTACATCAACAGAAGTTTCTCACCTTGGAATGCGAGGGACGCTCCCGCATCTCCTGCACACCTCCAACTGCGTGCAAGAGGAGGGCCCCAAGCTACTTTCTCCACCTCCTCACACTGCTCCCTGCAAGCCAGAAGGAGGCTGCTGAGAGTCCCTATCACTCCTGGCCGCCTTTTTATGTTGTCTGCAGGGGGAAAGAAGGCGAGGGACAACTTGGTGCTGGGAACTGACCTCTGGCCTGGCGGGCTTCTGGGAGGGGAGAGCAGAAGAGGAGTGACTGGGGCTGGGGGACTCCATGCGGGGGCCATGGACAGAGCGGCGCTCCTGGGACTGTCCCGCCTTTGCGCGCTGTGGGCAGCCCTGCTCGCGCTGTTCCCATGCGGAGCCCAAGGAAACTGGATGTGAGTATGGGGGCAGCAGGGGCTCATGGGGTGTGTGGCAAAAGGGGTGTCCAACCTCAGGGAACTTTCAGCTGAGGCGGGGGAGGAGGGGCGGGGACCCTAGGGAGGGTGACCTAATTTTCCGGAAAACATCTGGGATTGGGGAGGAGAGCAGGGGAGCGGCTTAGCCAGGGGCGGCCGTGTCTTACAGGTGGTTGGGCATCGCCTCCTTTGGGGTTCCGGAGAAGCTGGGCTGCGCCAACTTGCCGCTGAACAGCCGCCAGAAGGAGCTGTGCAAGAGGAAACCGTACCTGCTGCCGAGCATCCGAGAGGGCGCCCGGCTGGGCATTCAGGAGTGCAGGAACCAGTTCAGACACGAGAGGTGGAACTGCCGGGTTGCCGCCACCGCCCCGCCGGGCACCAGCCCCATCTTTGGCTACGAGCTGACCAGCGGTGAGTCCCAGGACCCTCCGGGCCAGCGCGGGACGGAGGGCTACAACTCCTCCAATTCCTGTAAATAAAGTAAATAGTGCTCGCGTGTCCCGTCGCTCTCTAAATCCCAACAAAGTTCTTTCCGTGGACGGGAATTGGGAGCGACGAAAGCCAGTCCCTGGGCGCAGGTGCAGTCCTGAAGTGGGGTGACTCCCCGGGTCCAGAGCGGGGCGCTTGGAGCTCTAGCTCTTCCTCCATCCGGCGGCGCCTGGCTGAGTTGGAGAAAAAGTCTAACACTCCACCCCGCCAACCCCTCGGACCTCGTAGCGCCCCCCTAAGTGGGTGACCAGCTGGAGAAACATGATGTCGGCAGCAGGGAATGCTGCTGCCGCATCTGCTTTGATTTAAGCAGCTCTGCTGTTCACCGAGCCCTGGACAAGTGGCTAATTGCAGCTAAGCCCCACGTTTGTTGGCTCCTGGGAGCACCGGGTAGACAGAATAAAGGGGATTTCAAAAGGGACTGTCCTGGACAGCCCAACGTGCGGCTCACGGGAGCACGACTCCTTTGGCTCTCCCCTCGGTGCTCTGGTCCTTCTCTCTCTTCCCTACTTTGCGCACACTCGCAGCGCGGGAAGCTGCAGGAAACTGTCCCACTTCCACGTGCCTAGTGATTTGGTAAGAATAAAGGTACAGGGAACCACGATTGTTCCAGGAATATCAGCAAATTCAAAGAATTTTAGGAGGTGGGCGATGAAAGATTCGTTGTTTTCACATTTATTTCCGTTCTGCCTCCACCTTTGACCTTTCCCCACCCGGTCCCGGCACACACCACCGCCAAAGCGTTGCGTTTGCCCCGCTGAGTTTTGGCCGGCACACCCTTCCGAAGGAGCCCTGACCCCCTGCCGGAAAAAAAAAAAAAAAGATACGTTCTTCACAGTTGCTGAAATGCAGAGGCATCGGCTGTTGAAAAGGTTTATTGGACAACCGGCGCGAAACTGTTTCTGCTCCAATCTAAACATCGCTAAAGAAAAAAAAAGTCGCCTGCTGAATCTCTTCTAGTCCATTTTATTAATGTTTTAATGCGACTTTAAGTTTTCAAAGATTTTAGCTAGAACTCTATTGCAGGTGTGCTAAATACTTATTCAACAGTTTTCCATAACTTTTTTTTTCTTTGCTGGTGACATTTCAATTATCTTTCATTGCCTTTGAGGATTAGCTAATACTTTATAAAGTATTCAATTGTTTCATGTTAATATCAGTGATTGTTATCACGATAGCCTAGAAAAAGAAAAATATTGATCCTTGATGTGTAAGTAAACTGTAACACTTTTACTAATTGCTGTGGTCTTTGCTTACTTTTAATTTACATTCTGACTCATATTATTTATACACACAAAGTCACAGCAATTTTTTCATGTTTTGTGAGAACACATTTTAAATTTAAAAAGAAAGGTAATCTAGACTCCTTCGGGCATTGTATTACCATTTACAACATCCATGCAAAGGATTTTAAATTCAACGTGTACTTATTGAACTTTTATTGTCTATTAAGCGCTGTGCTGAGCTAGGTGTTTAAAATTTTAAAAGTAAACAAATAATTTTCAGGTATGAGGACAGTTTATGACATACAATGTAAGGAAATCCCCTCAAGTGGGATATTGAAAATTGGTGTTGGTTTTCTAAAAGACTAGATCAATATGAAATTGTCTTTTCTAAATATGCACTCATTAAAGCATCCATTGTAAGCAATTGAATAATTGCTTCCCTGGTAAGAAGATAAGTAGGAGGCTTTGTTATTAACATAAACAGCCAGAGGTAAGGCTCTTTCATTTAGCAATTTATGTTTTATTCTAGGCACCAAGGAAACAGCATTTATTTATGCTGTGATGGCTGCAGGCCTGGTGCATTCTGTGACCAGGTCATGCAGTGCAGGCAACATGACGGAGTGTTCCTGTGATACCACCTTGCAGAATGGCGGCTCAGCCAGTGAAGGCTGGCACTGGGGGGGCTGCTCTGATGATGTGCAATATGGCATGTGGTTCAGCAGAAAGTTCCTAGATGTCCCCAACAAAAACACCACGGGAAAAGAAAGCAAAATACTGTTAGCAATGAACCTACATAACAATGAAGCTGGAAGGCAGGTATGTATTAGAAAATGGAATAGAAAACCAGTGCCTCTAGGTAAATAATACCAGGATTATACATCTGGATGAATCTGTCCAAATGGTTTAAAAAGCACACAGTTGCAGTCTCCTTCTCTCTCTATATATAATTCTCTCTCTCTGTATACATGTGTGTGTTTATTATATATGTATAACAGCAAATATATTCAATAGACAATATAGGTATTTTTCATGAGCTTGTACTGTCCACATAGATTTAGTTTAAGTTCTCTATCTGTGAGTTGAATCTTGTTATAAAATGTATTTGTGATTGTATAATTTGAATACCTGAAAGACTAATTATAAAATAATAGATGTACAAGTGTCTCTTGGGTCATTTGGTTCCACCTCTTAGCTGGTTAGCGGTGGAGCCAGAATAAGATCTACGGTATCTACCTTTCTAACAGGACTGAATTAAATTTTATTTCCTCAGATTTGAGTTTTGATTATTTTTTTAAATCTATTTTTTACTGAGCGATGGCTCCTAAACATGTTATCAGTTTTGTCCTTACTTTCTCTAGGAAACATTCTTGAACACATTAGGTATATACAACTCAACTAATATTTTGTGTAAAACAAAGTTTTTCTAAGGGAAGTAGTTATTTTATTTTAAAGCAATGTAGATTCATTGTAAAAATTGAGGAATACAGATAAAGGTAAAGAAGCTATAGAGATTAAATGTATGGATATTTTAAAACACAGATATTAGAGATTGAGGGGGAGACAAATTTGAAGAACCACCATCTAATTAACTTCTTTTATGAATTCTGGATTTTTAATACTAAGTTTTCTTAAAAGGAAATAACTTTGAAGCTTAATTTAACTTTCATATGTTTACCTTAATGAATATTGACACAACAAAGTTTGAGTTCTACAACAATGGTTAAATTGCTTGGCTATTCATAGTGACTTTCCTAAAACAGTTAAAACATTTTTTACGAATACGTATTTTCTATGTTATAACGATCTTTTCGGGACAGGAATATCAGCATATATCCTATATTATTGTAAATATCCAGTAACTTATAAAGGTCCGAATGTAGTCACTGCAATCTGTTGCATTCTCCTGAAGTAAATTAAAACAAGTTGCAGTATCTCTCAGGAATATTTATAGTATATGTTGCATTTGTTTTACATTTTTGGAAAGTAAATAAATGGAACCCATTCAGAATAGTTGCAAGTTTCAGCCAGTTTTCTTTACTTAACCACTTTGGTTTAAAATACAAAAGCACAAAACTCAATAAATATCAACCTAACACTTCAAATTCAAATTTGAATTTTCAATTCAATCTGAATATGGATTAAAAATAGCAAAATAGAAAACAGGAAAGTCAGTAAATAGCTGTGCTTAGCTTTTTGTACTTTTGTTTAGAAATTTTAAAAGTTAATTTATCTCACTAAAATAACTCTTGCCCAAGATAATAGTTATGCACATGTCTCTTCTCCTTAAATTTTTACTTTTAAAAAAATTAAATAAATGAGTTTTTGCTTCAATTTCAATATTATCCAATAAAGGAATTTTTATTATTTCTCACATATTAATATAAAAGAGGCTAAATGTAGTTAGCATATGTTCTTTAACACTCTAGAGTCAAACTAGGAAAAACATCAAGATAAGTCAAATTAACATATTTAAAAATAAGAAAACAATTAAATGAATATTTATTATCAATTTAGACTTTAAGTCTTTTTTAGCCTTTATTTAAATAATTTGGTAGAAATTTAAAAATTTTTAACCGGAAAACAAAACTCGGAAATTCATGTTATGATTAATTCTCTTGAATAAAGTCATCTGTGAACTTATGAAAAACCCTAAAATGTGTTTTTTATATTAGTAATATTAGGCAGATATTTAGTTTTATTCCATCTCGTGTGTTTCAAATTAGGTAGCAATATTTGCCTCTGTAACTATTAACTTTGATCTTAAACTGTTATTGATATTCTGATTTTATTAAAAACATACAACTATTCAGCATTAATTTTAATCCACTGTTTGTTGGCAGAAAACAATCTCCTCAGATTACTGAGGTTTTTGCTATTATTCTAATTATGCAGAAAATAATGCAGCCTATGTATTTATACACATTTTGTTTAAATTTCAGAATTTTCTGTGCTGAATCTTTTTTTCACATTGGTCTAGATGGAATCTTAAAATATTACAAAATATTACCTGAGTAGTTTGAGGGTACCACACTGGTGTTTTTGTTGGTCTTTTCTCATGAACTATTACAATTCAAAGAATTTTTGTATTTTTCTTTCCATTGGTGGCCAAAAAAAAGAAAAACCACCATCACCACCACAACAACAAAAGCCAACCAGGTTTCCAGGTTATTATCTAATATGGAAGAACAAGCAACTCCATTTTAAATATTGGCAATTCGAATTTTAATCTAATAGGCACATTCTTCTGAGTGAAGTTCAAGGTCTGCATCCAACTGAGGTTGATTTTCCTCGTCTCAAAATCCCAAACTCAAAATATAGGAAAGCGTTCAGAGAAATGTGGGTACTGGCGCTTAGTAGTGCTATGAGCAGGATGGATGATTTTCTAACCGCTGACCTTAAATACTCTGATTCCCACTTGGTTTCTGACACCATTCCTAAAGTTATGACTCCAAGAATAATGTTGCTGAATGCTGATTGGATAACAGAATGATGTGATGTCTTCCAGGGGCAGAACTTCTGGGAATAATGTGACTTGGAATATTTATGGGTATTTCTTTTGGTGTGCTTAAAATATTTCCATTCTCCCCATGTCCACCTCATAAACTTTCAAGTTTCTCTACCCCATAATTTGTTTTATGATGAGTAACTCAAAAAAGTGGGAAGGGCCCAACCCCAAATTTTCATTGACCTGTTTTGAGAATATTTATAAGTACTTAAACAACACATGAGTGTTTTGCTTTTCAGCAGGTTCAAATATATTTTTAGACAAAAAGGGACAAAATGGGTCAGAGGAATAGGAATGTAGTCATTCAACCTTATGTCACGGTTTTCATAAAAACTTAAACAGATCATCTGATAGTTGACAAAATGAAATGCTCGTCACAAAACGTTCCACAACAGTTTTTTGGTCATTTCTGTAAAGTTTGGATAAAGCAATATACTGGAAAACAATCACTGCCTGCTGTGTTACCTCTGAGAAAAACTGTGGGACCAATCACTCCTTAGACAGACTCCTTAGACTTAAATTAAGTATTAATGATACGTCTTTCCTACTTCGCTTTATTAGAAATTTATCAAACCAAAACTTAACACAAGGAGCCCGTAGATTAAATGCTACCCTCCTAATTGCTCTCCCATAGTTTAAAAATACCCACCCAAATGTGCACATCTGTTTGCAATAGTTAACAAAACATTCCTCTGTTAATATCGTTATAAACCTTAACAACTCAACTGGAGTAGAGAAAGGAATTTTCTCATAACCACACACAACTCACTTGGTTGCCATTCTCTTTCCCTGTTAGCAGAAAATGACTGTGCTATCGCTGTAGTCAGAATGGCTATTTGACGTTAATTAAGAATCCTAGCTGAAAAGCTTCAGACTATACTTTTTTCTGGAGTGTTCATGCAATATCCTTAAATATGCTTGCATTTTTCACTTTCATTTTTCTCTGTTCTACTGAAATTATTCTGGTGCATATAAAGACCTTATGTCATATATCTCCAACTTTCCTTATGTACGACAAGTGTCTTAATCGTGTTGTTTATTTTTCCGTAAAATTGGAGTAATAAGTGCTACTGCTACCTACTATGTGCAAGGCATTTCTTCCTATAAAACTAAATCAAATGAAATAATTTATGAAAATGTGTTCTAAGAAGCACTAAGCTCTACAGAGTTAAACTGTGTGTGTGCGCGTGCGTGCGTGTGTGTGCGTGTGTGTGTGTGTGTGTGTATCTGCCCTTGAACTCTGCATTTCATCAGCTTCTCCTAGTAGTGATTATATTGCTTTATTTTCATCCCTATTTGTCCAGGTTTCTTCCTTGGAGTATTATGGGGTTATAATCATTTAAATTGCATGTGAAGTTATTGGGATTCTTCTCCTTGAAATTTATTTGTCTTTCTATCCTAGAATATATATATATATCCTATATATATACATATATATATATATATGATAAAAATACTATTTCTTTTCTTGTACTTATTGTTAAGGACAAAAAGGTAATGGGATTGAAAGGTAATAGAATAAAACTTCTTAAAAATATCATCCCTGAAAAGTTGTAGTTAACTCCAGCTATTTAAAAGTTGCTAGTTTTCTGTGGCAGGAAAATCTCCCCAAAATTCTGATACAAATTCAGCAGGTGATGTCATGGGATTGAAAAAGGATGTCTTCTTATCCTTCTGACCTGTGAAGTAGCGTATCACTCTTGTGGACTAACACGGTTGTGGGCTGAGAAATCAGAGGAGAACCCAGCCGGATCAAGCTCTCTTGCTACCATTGACCTTCAGGCAGTGACTCTTTTGTTTAAAAAGGTGGTTTTTATTACTTTCTCCGGATTCAGGTTACCAGTAGAGGATGAGTTAAAGTGTTCAAAGGAGCTTGACTAACTATTCAATAAGCATTTGGTGAGCATATACTGTCCTCCATGCTCTGCAAATTGGCAACACCATACTGGATGTCTGAATTGGTTAGTAAAAGAAACACTTGGCTCCTCCGTTAAGATCCTGAGTGAGGGGCAGCTTTAAATCACTAAGTGATGACTGTGAGGAATGTTGATCAGGTTTAAACACATAAACATACATTTTTAGATTTTTTCCTTTCTTTCGACAGCTTGTTTTGTTATTACCCAGCATTGATCAAGTTATCTTTTTCTTATATCCTTTGGGCACTTACAATCTGAACAAAACTAGGCAGATTATATTAATATGAATATCTCTTTGCCTGGAGACGTTTTAAAGAATTGTGAGTATCCAACGCATAAATTTAACCAAATAAGCTTGTGTGCCATACTTTATAAAATGCTTTCAGGTCATTGAAAGGTACCTTTTGCCCGAGTTAATAAGACATAGACATATCTACTCTCTTCTCAGTTTTATGCATTGAAAAAGTGCTGTATTCTATAAAGGACAGGGTTTAAATATTATTCTGTTTATTATTTTAAGCGCTAAGAAGAAGTATCAAATACTGTAAAAATTAATACCATATGCTCTCATTCAATGTTGCAAATATTATAAATTGTTTGAAATATTCTGTCTCAATCAATAGTTGAGAAACTTTAGTTAATTTATTAGGATATGTAACATTCCGCAAACGTGTCAATGTCAGGTTTGGTACAAAATAGCAAAGTATAAACCTCTGTCATTTTATAGTTTTGATAAGAACTGTAAGTGGAATTTAAGCTGTGAGATTTTCCCCTTTTTTGGTGAGATTACACACATAATTTACAAGTTATTGAATGGATAGATCAGTTTTTCATTTTACTCAGCATGTTGACAGAATGTCAACTCTACAGCTAGTCCAAAGGATTTGTTAATCTGCTCTGCCATCCTCTGGGGATTGAAGGAAGCTGTGCTGACCAGTCTGGTATGTAAGAGATTAAGACCCTAAAACTTTTGAAATCTCTATATTGTTTTTCAGCTGTGAGCCCCATTGAAATTTTATGTCAACTCTTATTGTACTTTCTTCTTCAGAGAAAAGGGGCATTTATTTCGACCTTAATATGTGTCAGGCTCTTATGGAGATATGTAATTTCCTTTAATTCCTCAGTTTGAATAAACTAAACTCAGCATTTTGAATTGAGAAATTACATAAATATTATCCCTTTTCTGTGTTAGGGTGGTGCTACTGATCCATCAAGGATAGGACATATGTTTTGAGTTAAGTTTCCAGAGAAGGCAAAGAATTTGCTGGGAGCAGCCACAATCTCCAGCTCCTTCTCCTTTTGACCAACTTAAGTTGATTAGTCAGGGTTTCTCATGTGGTCTGTGACCAGGGGATGGCATGTCCCCCCAAGTCCCCGGGAATGTAACTGACTTTTACAGCGATCTAACCTGAGAACTCTCTGTTCAGTAGATCTCATCCTTGGATGTCCATTGGAATCATCTGCGCAGCTTTGTACAAGTACCATTGCCTGGACCCCACCTCCACCAATTAAATCAGTCTCAGGGGTTTCAGCTTTGGTTATCTGTAAAGTTCCACAGAAGTTCCCATGCACTACGTGAGCTGAGGATGATTACTCTGTCAGTGCTTCTCAAATTTTAATGTGCACACAAGTCACCTGAGGCTCTTATTAACATGCTGTGCCTAAGAGTCACCTGAGGATCTTTTTAAAATGCAGATTCAGATTCTGTAGGTCTGGAGTGGGGCCTGAGAGTCTGCCTTTCTCACAAATGATGCTGATGCTGCTGGTCCATGAACCACACTCTCAGTGGCAAGGTGCTAAATAGTCTCAGGAACATGGAGACCTGCGTGAACATCCTGCCACATTCAAAATTAAAGAGGAGATTAGAAATAAAAGTAGTTTCCCTTCGCTGTCTCAGACAATCTCTGATAACAATATTAGCCTGGTCCACTACTTTAAATTAGACTTGGCAAAGTTTTCTCTGCAGGATCAAGCAAAGGACAAAATATTTGAACCCAGGCAATCTTAAAGGTCCTTTATGTTCAAAACCATCATTTTTACACAGGAAGAAACAGACCCAGAAAGTTAAGTGATTAGTTTAGTCATCCTTCTGTTGTTGAGTAAAACACTTCATGAAGGATATTTAACATAAATCATTGTTGTTTTCAGGCTGTCGCCAAGTTGATGTCAGTAGACTGCCGCTGCCACGGAGTTTCCGGTTCCTGTGCTGTGAAAACATGCTGGAAAACCATGTCTTCTTTTGAAAAGATTGGCCATTTGTTGAAGGATAAATATGAAAACAGTGTGCAAATCTCAGACAAAATAAAGAGGAAAATGCGCAGGAGAGAAAAAGATCAGAGGAAAATACCCATCCACAAGGAGGATCTGTTCTACATTAATAAGTCTCCCAATTACTGTGTAGAGGATAAGAAACTAGGGATCCCAGGGACACAAGGCAGAGAATGCAACCGTACGTCGGAGGGTGCAGATGGCTGCAACCTCCTCTGCTGTGGCCGAGGCTACAACACCCACGTGGTCAGGCATGTGGAGAGGTGTGAGTGCAAGTTTATCTGGTGCTGCTATGTCCGCTGCAGGAGGTGTGAAAGCATGACTGACGTCCACACTTGCAAGTAACCACTGCATCCAGCCTTGGGCAACACTCCTTGGTGACATACAGCGGGGTTGCCATCCAGAGGATGCCTCTCCTGTGCACTCCTGTGTCGGAATTCTCCAATCCTTGGGCCACTCTCAGAGTTCTCTTTACCTGGTCGATGTCCAGTCACACACTGAGCATGTGGATTTCTTGGGATTCTAAAGTTGAAAAGATCTGGGTTCATCTTTTGGTGGTTTGGAGAAAATATATTGACATACAAGAAAGATGATTTGTCTTAGTTTAAGGAAGAAAGGATAGGAAAGAGCCTTCATGCCAGAAACCTGGTCCATAGTCAGGATAAGAGCCTTGAGTATGGAACTCAGCTATGGAACTCATGGGTGAATATAGTCATTTTTAAAAGACACTTCTTATAGCAGCAAGGAGCAGTAAACATGAATCTCATTTATTCTTCTAGCATTTCATATGAAGAAATCATACTGTTAGTGCGTAGAAACAGAAGGTGTTGAAAAGGTAACGGAAGTGGTGGGTGCTTATTTACCCTTTCATGCATTTCAAAAAAAGGCAATTAAAAAGAATCTTCTTAAGTGATACGATATCCCTAAAAATGTTTGTTAGAGATCTTTGGTGACAAAGGAAAGAATCAAAATGTAAAAAGTAAAACGTATGATTTAGATTTTAAGTGGCTTTTAACTATGAGAATTTATCTAGAAAAAACATCAGTAAGGTATATAGCAATCTTTGATCTTTGGCTTCATACTTTAATCATAGACCAGTTTCTACTATTAAAGGCCCAGCTCTGAAATACTGGGTGAAGAAGGGATCCTGGAAACATGTGGGAAAATTAGAGATAAAAATATAAAGGGCTCTCATACATTGTAAGGAAAAGCACCCTTTAAAGGTGTAAAGACAGTATTTTGTACAATATTTTGCTAAAAAATTTTTATATTTTGTAAATACAGTATTTAAGTTATATGATATATATAAAAACTTAAGACATTTATTGCCAAAGCCCAAGAGCTAAGACAATAATTTTCTCAGAAATAATATTAGCTTGTTTCTTTTCATACTATTATCTCTTTTTATACATTGAAAAAGAAGTTAATTGAGCAGTTAGTTATATGGATGTGTATTTCTCGCCAAAATGACAGTTTTATATGTTATAGATTTAAATATGCTACAAAATATTGAGAACTGTGTTATTTCAGCAGTCAGATTAGTTGAATTCTGTTTTTAATTAGTTATGTTTAACTTGTAAGGTTATTATAATAAATTATACAGTAAAAGTCTTAACTGGGAAAAAGAATCTAAATCAGAATAATGATCAATTTGTGGATTTGATATCCTGGCTATTTATTGTATTGTACGTAATGCTGCATTTCCATGTGAATGTTGAATGGTCTCTCTTGCTTTAGTATTCATGCATGTATCTTCATCATATTTTACAAAGTTCCTGGTGAAAATTACAAGGCTATATTTAAGGTTGTATTTTAATGTAAATGCTTATGTTTTTTATGAATTGTTAAATATTTCAGTATTACATAGAAAAAATAGATTTTCTAAGTTCAGAATGGACAAAGAAAGAATATCCTTTTTCTTATAAGAAGCTAAAGAAATGTTCCCCTGACCACCAGGTCTCATTTTATTTCCTTTCAATTTTATTTACGAAGGTAGAGTGATAATTTGTGAAAAAGAGCAAACCCGTGGAAAATGTCTCCAGCCTAATACTAAAATTAAAGCTGAACATTTATCCGTGATCCTTAAAGTTTAAAAACATTATTATTTACTGAATGAGAGACTCAGAAATGACAAATGAACAAATATAGTACCTATTTAAAAGAGTGGTTTACCTTTCTTTTGCATCCACTGATTAGAATAATCTGAAAAATAGACATTTTAGTGGCTTTTTTTCCAGAGTAAATCTATTTTATCTGCATTGACAATAAGCACTCTTTTTTAAAAGATGTAGACTGTAGTTCCCACTAACGACGAGTTTCTTCTGTTAACTGGAAGACTTTTTATAATTACCTTACCAACCGATTGTGAGAATCAGACAGTCTCTAATTCACAAATACCCAATTACTCTTCAGCCATTGGTTAAAAACACTGATGCCAACTCAGGCTCTCCTCTGGCTTGCCTGAGCAGGAACTCCTAACTCCCAAGCTGTGTCTTTGGGTTCTTCTTCTCCTTCTCCTCTGTGGCATCACCATGGTAGCCATCCTTGAATTTCTCACCTACCTGTTTCACCGGCTGACAACCTGGCTTTAGCCCATTTCCTTCCCACTCCCCATCATGGTAGATGTAGCCCATGGTGCTCCTGGGAATACAAGTTCTGGAGCCCAAATATCCCTATCCAGGCTAGGCTATTTTGCCTGTGTTGTTTAGGGCTCTTTATGTTGCAAATAACAAAAAATGCAATCCAGGCTGACAAACTTTAAAGGAAATGTATTGACTCAATACTTGAAAAGTCCAGAGTTGTGACTGGTTCAGGGGAAGCTTGATCCAAAAGCTCACACTATGTTCCCAGAGCTCAGGTCTCTCCATATCCAGCCTAAAGAGGTTGGCTTCTGTGGTGGTGTCTTCTGCTTCAGGCTCCACACGGCACTATGCCACCACCTCCCCCCAAGCCCCCACCCCCAGCAGCTCCAGGCTCTCTGCTTTTCTTAGCAACATGGCTGCCACCCTTCCCTACCAGACCTCACATTCTCCTACCACACCTCACATTCTCCTACCACTCATTCTAAGGAAACAGAGAGAGGTACTGTTTTGAGTTGCTCACACAAGGGAGAGGGAAAATTTTTCTTTCTCAGAATTCCCAGCAAAGGTCATCATTGGCTCTGATTGGTTAGTGTGCCCCCCAATCAGAATGGCCATTGGAGGTTGGGGTGGGCTGATAAATACACTGATCTTAAGGCAATCAAGACCCATGTGGGAACTGACAGTGGGGTTCATTCCAACTAAACCCAGGCAGCTTGAGAATAGGAAAGAGGTGAGTCCATAGAGAAAAATCAGGGTGTTATGTTACCATTAAAAGGTACCCTATGCTGGGCAGCACAGACAGTGGATGCCCTCAATTCTAGTGATGTGTTTAGGAAACAGCTTTCTGGTATCACATGGGTCAGGCTCAGAACCAGACAAAGCACTGTGGCTACAAAATTCCTTGATTTGTTTAAATGCCCTTGATGATGTTAAAAGGGAATGGGAGGTACTTCAGTATATTCTTTTTCAACTTAGGAGCTCATCTTTTTTGTAAATTTGGAACTGCCTAATACAGGCAATGATGATTGTCTTGAAATAAAATCAAGAAAAACATATCAAATGGCATTATCTGTAACCTCTAGATAAGGAAGTTGGCTAATTAAAGTATTTCCCTGATAGTAGGACTTTACAGAAAATTAAAAACACTTTCATTTTTTTGAATTTATACAATTGCATTATTTCCTTATTTATGGTCTGGATGACAGTAGTTTGTTGTTGTTGTTTTTTTTAAGAAACTATGATAGTTATATTAAGAATAACAATGGAATTTAATTATATGTTAGATGCCATGAATCTATTTTGCAGCTTTGTAATTTTTTTTTAAAAGATTTTATTTTTCCTTCTTTTCCCTAAAGCCCCCCAGTACATAGTTGTGTAATTTTAGTTGTGGGTCCTTCTAGTTGTGGCATGTGGGATGCTGCCTCAGCATGGCTTGATGAGCGGTGCTAGGTCCTCACCCAGGATCCAAACCTGCGAAACCCTGGGCCGCCAAAGCGGAACGGGTGAACTTAACCACTCGGCCATGGGGCCAGTCCCTGCAGCTTTGTAATCTTGATATTCACAGTAAATATTGTAGAAACACACTTTAATTTTCCAAAGTACTGTCAGTTCTGATACGTTTGGTTTTACTTGGTTTAAAATGTGGAAGCAGAAAAATTTTCCATCAAAATGTTTATTTAAAGGCAATTTGGTGAGTTGCTGGTACTTTTTACATTACCTCCCAAAGGCCATCAAAGACTAAGGAACTAAACCAATCATTTGGAGCCAGTCAGTTAGTTATCCAGAACACTGTAATCCTCTTAGCTGACTTGAGGGAAGAAAAATTCAAATCATATCTCCAGGAACCATGGATATTCCTCAAGACAAGCCTTTCTTAAGGAAAGCTGGCTAAGATGCCGTGGTTGGTTTTTTTTTTAAATTTCAGTTTCACTATAGACCAGATGTAATAAGTCATAACATTTCTTGAAGTAGGATGATGAAGTAAGGTGAGAAGGACAGATGCATATGGCACAGCGAGAAGGGGAACACAGTGGTACACCAGGGACTCATTTCCTTTGAAAAAGAAAACAACATTAGTAAACACTTAGACAGCACTTACTATGTACCAGACATTGTTCTAAGTAAATTGTATGTATTAAGACATTTAACCCTCACAATAACCTCATAAAGTAGGTCTCATTATTGTGGTCCTCATTTTACAGATGAGGAAACTGATACAGTAATCGTGAGTTAAGTAAGCAGCCCAAGGTCATGCAGAACGGACTGCTTCAGAGTCTGTGCCCTTAATCATCATATCATTATTGTGCGCCTCACAGCATCACAATAGTCCGTATGCTGAGTTTACAGTATACCATTTAAAGAGTTTGGGGGATTTATAAATAAGTGAAAATCACAGGATGTTCCTTCATGATTAGTTATATAAACTTGGTTGAGGAACAGGAGTGAAGTGATGGAAGATCTGAGATCTTAGAATTCACCATGAAATAAAATACACTGCCTGTTGATTTCTGAGCTCGAAGTGATTTAAACTGCCTGCGATTTTAGATCTCAATGCGGCTAACAGCTGGGTTATGCAAGAATCTAACAATCATTCCAAAAGGAAGTGACTAGGGGTAAAGATCAAACTAATTGAGTGTGACAGTAAATAAATACTTACATCCTCTTTATTGTTGTGCTTACAGCCAATTGTTACATAAAGTGTTATTTTTAATAGATGGATGAAACTTACCATTGGAAATGGTTTACATTCACATCCAAAGAAAAACCACGAGAGATGGTTTACACGATTAAAACCTCTTGAAACAAAATCATGCTAGAAAAAACAGCCTCTCCCGCTGATTGTAAAGGGAAGGAATAATAAATGTGGACCAAGGCAACACAAACTAAAGTTTCACATGTGACTTTTTAATTTGCAGAATAAGTGAAAGCATCTGATTGGTTGGTGAGAATTGGAAAAGCAGGATGAGTGCTGCTTGCTTCCCTCTGTCTAACTGCTCAGGGTGATTCACCTCCACGAGGCCGAGGAGCCTTCCCTCGGCATGCCAGAAACAACCCAACACCCGGAATCATGGCCCCCATCCTCCTGCCATGGACAGCAAAGACAAAGGAAGAGTGGCTCCTTGTAGCCCCCAATCACTCTGATAAAAGAGGAAGATCACCAAATTTAACTGTACCTTTAAACGTACCTCGAACTCTTCATTACCCAAGGAAAGGTGTAAATATATAAAATGTAAGTCAATAATTACCTATTTACTTCTAGTACATAATCCCTACTTTTAAAATAAGTTTTAAAAATGTTTTTGTCAGTTATTTTTATTTTTTCCCCCAGCTTTATTGAGATATAACTGACATACAACATTGTGTAAGTTTAAAGTCCTACCCATTGTAATTGCTTCATCTCAGACTCCCCAGCAAACAACCAATTTTTGCTCCTCACAGGCTCTAAGCAAAGCAAGAAATGGCACAGGGACAACTGAAAAAGGGAATGTGATAAATCCGCTTTAACATGCCCTCTATTTAATGGGTGCAGGCTAAATAATTTTACAAGCTTGAAGATAAATTCTGTTATTCCGAATGAGAAATTCTCTCCTTTGATGGCTTGAACACTTTTTCTTCCTCCAAACGCCCAATTTATCATTTCTTGGGACTCTACACTTTAAAATTTGTTGACTAAGTATAGGACACAATCTCCACATTTCATTTGCCACAACTCCTGTAACTGCGCCCAGGTCCCACACCCCCAGTGCGTGGAATTCTAAGGAGCTCCTCCAACCAGAGTATTTCCATAATAGAATTTTAACACCTCCTTGCTAGGTGTTAACAGTTCCACAAGAATTGGCTTTCAACCTCATTCCCTGGGTCAAAAGTTTCGTCTTTCTATAGGAGTCAAGGAACAAGCTAATTTACTGATCTTAAACCTCAGGTCCTCTCCCTAAGGGAAAACAGAAAATCATTTAGAGTATGTTCTTTGCCCCTTGGTAAGGAGCACATGGGACATAAGGCCCAGGGCTCACTCCGCACACCTAAGGAAACTCTCACCAATCGACTCTCCCACTTCTTCGACCCAGGGCTTCCCCCAGAGGACCACTACTCTCAGGGACTACTGCTTTCTCCACGAACTGAACATATTTCTAATTACAGCTCTTAGCATCATTTGCTTTTAAATCTCTCCTCTGCTCAGAGCTTGACCTTGCAAGACATTCTCCTTGAAGTTCATTTCTGCTTTTGTCAAATAAAGCACAGAGTACCTCTCTAATCGGGCTCCCAATACACAGGGGTATACAGAAGCCAATTAGCAACTTGGTCATTTTATTCCAGATACAGAAGGCAAAGGCTTGGCAGGGAATTCAGTGGCCCCAGTATTGAGCTTGTTCAACTGGTCCTGTCACATCCAAGCAGTAGCAACAGCACTGTGGACAAGCAGGACTGCACTGGCATGCATAACACATTGTTGAAAATGTTTGGAAGTCAAATTTATAAGTTTCAAATAATAGACTTACTGTTATTAAAAAAGTGCTGATCCCAGAAAGCAATAAAATGTCTTAAAATTCTCATTCAAGATTCCTCTCTTGCCCAGGCAATCTTGCTGGTGGGTAAGAACCTTCACAGGACCTGTGAGCAAGAAGCAAAAGCTGGTGTGCAAGAGGGTGCCAGCTGAGCCCCAGCATCTCCTGTGACCTGACAGCTGTCCCACCCTGTCCTGCAGCAAGAGTTGAGTGGATAGTTAGGAAGTTACTAGAAACAGGGATCAAGGTCTATTGTCCCATGTCCTCCCAGACTGGGGCTTCAGCAGAGGATTTCCCTTTTGTTTTCAAGGTTTTGTTTATTTTTTGTGGTGAGGAAGATTGGCCCTGAGCTAACATCTGTTGCCAATCTTCCTTTTTTTTTTCCCTCCTCAAAGCTCCAGTACATAGTTGTATATCCTATTTGTAGGTCATTCTAGTTCTACATGGGATGCAGCCACAGCATGGCTTGATGAGCGGTGTGTAGGTCTGTGCCCAGGATCCAAACCCAGGGCTGTGGAGCACACGAACTTAACCACTTGGCCACAGGGTCAGCCCCCAGAGGGCTCTCCTTGAGGGTCTTCAACCAGCTGCTGCCCAGAAAGGAATCAGAAAACACTCCTGGCCTCTGGCTGAAGTCACATACTTTCCCTACAGGTGGGCCAGCAAGTAAAACTATAACATGTGATCATCTGAAATGCTAGCTGTCTGGAGATACACCGAAGCTTGAATTCTACACATGAAAGGGAGTCTGGTGTCAGTGTGGACTGAGGGAAAGGGTAGGTGGTATATAGTCAGAGGCTGGGAGGTCAAGCAGAACCTCAGGTGAATAGCTGCTTCCCCTCCCATGACCTTATTGCCTGAGTCATTTAATGGTTCCCGTTAGGCTTGGCATCTTAGTCCATTCGGGCTACTGTAACAAAACACCATAGACTGGGTGGCCTATAAACAACAGAAATTTATTCCCCACTGTTCTGGAGACTGGGAAGTCAAGGTCAAGGTGTCAGCAGATTTGGTATGTGGTGAGGGCCTGCTTCCTGGTTCACAGATGGCCATCTTCTTGCTGTGTCCTCCCAGGGCAGAAGAGGCCAGAGAGCTCTCTGGGGTCTCTTTTATAAGAGGACTAATCCCATTCAGCAGGGCTCTACCCTCATGACCTAATCACCTCCCAAAGGCCCCACCTCAAAATACCATCACCTTGGGGATTAGGTTTCAACATAAGAATGTGAGGGGGACACAAACAATGAGACTGTAGCACTTGGTATGATGGGATCAAAAAGCTAAAGAGTCAGACAACTTTTCTCTTGGGCTAAAACATTACTAGCCTGCAAGAGACATAGTCAACACTAACAGAAATACTGTTGCACTGAATGAGTAGTTTGTGCCACGCATTTTGCTAGGCACCAAAACCACATGGTATTATCCCTATTTCACAGGTGAAGACATTGACTTTCTCAAGGTCCTCATGTGATCGACAGTGCAACTGAGACATAGACTCAGGCAGGTCTGTACTCTTAACCAGTATCCTACACTGTTCCCTCTCTACACAATTCTCTCCCCTTTAAGATTTCAGGCCCCTTTTCTATCAAATGAAACAAATATGGGCTGATTATATGGAACATTAGGAGCTCACAGGTTCATAAACCAATTTGCCATAATCAAAGGGAATATCTTTTACCAACTTAGCATCAACTTGTTCTTTCCATATTTTTTTCTTTTTTTGAGGAAGATTAGCCCTGAGCTAACTACTGCCAATCCCCCTCTTTTTGCTGAGGAAGACTGGCCCTGAGCTAACATCCATGCCCATCTTCCTCTACTTTATGTGTGGGGACGCCTACTACAGCATGGCTTTTTACCAAGCGGTACCATGTCTGTACCCGGGATCCGAACCGGCGAACTCCGGGCCGCCAAGAAGTAGAATGTGCGAACTTAACCACTGCGCCAGTGGGCCGGCCCTTCTTTCCATATTTAATACACTCCAGTGGTGGGCATAATTTATGCACAGCTGAAGAGTGAGGTTAGTAATGTCAGCAAGTCACCCCTGTGAACTAGCTGTCCTGGGAAGACTGTCTTCCTTGTGTTGTTTGCTTATAAACTGCCCATGGAACAAACCCAAGAGAAATCTCTCTTCTGTCTCAAAGGGCTGGCCAGTCCCTTTTCCTTTCTGACCACTTCTAGAAGAGACATACTGGTGTTAAAAGTGTTGCCTTTTTTTTTTTTGAAGATTGGCACCTGAGCTAACAACTGTTGCCAACTCTTTTCTTTTCCCCCTTCTTCTTCCCCCCAAAGCCCACCAGTATATTCTAGTTGTGAGTGCCTGTGGTTGTGCTGTGTGGGACGCCGCCTCAGCATGGCCTGATGAGCAGTGCCATGTCTGTGCCCAGGATCCGAACCAGCGAAACACTGGGCTGCCAAAGAGGAGCGCTGAACTTAACCACCCAGTCACGGGGCCGGTCCCGAAAGTGTTGCCTTAATTTAGCTGCTTTCCAGTGGTCTGCCCCCTCACTGGACTGAAGGAAGAGTCCCTAAGATTCCCTGAAGCTTTCACCATGCTGTCTGCACCATCCTTTGCGGCTCCCATCAAGCTGCCTAGCAACAGACTGACACTGCTAAGCCAGGCCTGTCTGCTTTCCACTCTCTCTAACTCTTAATTTGACCGGAACCTCAAGAGAGCAGATGGGGGAGAGGAGAGACAATCAATAGGAAAGGACAAGGCCTAGTTAAACTGAGGGAGCTGTGAGGGGAATGGAGATTAACCAGCCATTGGCACGTGACAATCAAAAACCAGGTAGACGACAGAAAAACCATCCCAGGAAGAGACAGCAAAAGAATTCTTCTGAGGAACGCTTTAGAAAAGGTAAAATCTTAGGTACTTTATTCTACAACTCTTAATTTACATGTACTTATTGCTGTCCAAGGCCTAATTGAAGAGGTTAAGTGGCAAATCTTTTCCCTGATCAACCCAAGTAATTTTTCTCCTTCATATTGATTTTAACAAGTATCTAAGTGCATTTCCACTTTTAACTGTTCTAATAACTGAACACAGTGCACATTTCTCATTCTTTCATTTAAAAATGGAGAGTGTCAACCAAACGGAATGAAACTATGGTCTTTCTTGGGGGGGTCAAATCATTTACAATTCGTATAAACTTTTAAAGTATAAAGAGCAATATAGGCTAAATACATGAGCTTCATCTGGCATAAAATTATAAACTATTAGCTGATTCATTTCAAAACAAATACAATGAAATATAGAAAGAACAATGATAAATTTTACTTTAATCAAATTAAAGTCAGGAATATAAAGACTGGCTCAATTTTTCCTTCATTTCCCAAATATCACTTATTTTCCTACTGTCTTTGCTTAATTTTAACAGGCATATCATAATACACTTGTCCTGGGAAAGCATCTATGATTACAAATAAAAAATAGGCATCCATAAATCCTTAAACACCATTAAACTACCCATGTGTCAATGCCAAATTTGATTTTAATCAAGAAAATTCTTAACAACATTAAATGAGCATTGTTTCATTTATAATGCTGACTTTTAAAAGATATCTGAAAATGAAATGTAGTAAAATTATTGCTTCCAAAGTGAAGGCGGCACAATCTCGACAAGATCGAACTGAAACAAAAGCAAAGTAGACCAACCTTCCTCCCTTCTTTGGATATCGTATACACCTTTACAAAGCTATCATTTTTCCTTCTTTACTTTGAAAGGGATGTCCTGCCATCTAGACACTTAAATTCTATACATGTTAAGATATATCCTCAGGATACTAGTGTGTTTAACCACAGAAATGACTTAAATTTGCATGTTAAGCAGTACAATAAATTCTTTACAAAATGCTACTGTGAAGTTCTGTAGGTATATTACTTTGTTAGATAATACAAAAAAAAAATCACAATGCAAAACCAAGAGTATTTATTGTTTTTTTAAAAATGCAACATTTATTTCACAATCGCTAGAATCGTAAAATAGCTATTCTTTTTAATTTACAGAATTGAGGAAAGTATTTTAAATGTCAAAAAAATACATGCTGAATGTGATTTATTATATAAGCACCAAAAATCTGAAAAGTTTACGAAAATTGTTTAAACCTGTAAGGTGCATCTATTCATAAATTACATTCAGTTTGAGGGAAGAAACAGTACCTCAAAGCTCATTAATATTTAAGAAATAGCTGAATGGCTTCCAACTTGGTTTACAGCAAAATAAAAAACACTGCTTTTAGTTATATAAGTGCTGCCTTTATTGTAAACGGCAGTTTGATCGTTAAATTTGTTTATGTCGCAGTTTAAGACACTTCATACACAATAGGTACTGAATGTCCCAAAAAAGTTTTTAAAACCTTGAGTCATTTAGCGAACATCTGAAGATAACAAAAAAGTTAGATCTCTTATATTTTTATGTAGAATTGGGTATAAAGTCACTTTGCATCAATAAAGTTATTTTTAAAATGTTAGCAGTCCACTCAGTAATTAGGACTTTTCTAAATATGTCGCTACATTTTCAGGCAAAAATTGCTATTACGAAGTTAGATGAAGTAAATACAGAATTAATTTCTTGGTTTACAAATCAAAATTATTGTGATATTAAAGCATGCCTCTTTCCAAACCACTTTGTAAACGCTGATAACAATTAAATAAGGAAAATATATGCCAATATTGCTCTAAATATACTGACACGGCCATCCTGAATGACTCGTTAGGTTGGGGAAGGGACTTGGCCTGGTTCCTCAGTTCTGTGGAGTTGCCACCTCCTGCCTCACTCTAAATAGCTTATACAAAATCAAGTTATTCACATTGCTAACACAAAATCTAGCAAGCTACAGTCCTGAATGCCATCTACATTTATATACTTAGTTTTTACTCTGTTTATTAAAGAAAAGAATGTTGTTGTGCTTTTCACATAGCTAAGTTTTCATATCATTTTATTTCTACGTTTCTTGGAAAGGGAAGAGAAAGACCAAAAAAGGAGGAACATGAGGAGAGTCAGACTGTAAAGTAACGTTACACACACAACTAGCCAAATAGCTTCTTAATTTGAAAGATACTATCACCAAAAGGCAATATATATAGAAAGAAAACAAAGTCTCTCCTCCCTAAAATCCATATTATCCCATGATACATTTTCACAGCAACCAGTATATATATCAATATATTTTTCACAATCTGTTCAGTTATCCATTGGGTATGCTCTTAGAATTAAAAGATGTCATTATCATAGCATTCTAAACACTGTACTAATAGGGAAATGTGCTTAGAAATGGTTCAGTGATTTGCTCATTATGATGTCTATTTACAAAGATATCTATTTACGTTAGCAATAAATAATCCTGATATCAAAAGGGATAATGCTCATGCACACACCAAGATGGCTGCATGCTCTTAAAATATTTACACATAGTTCCTCTCTTCTCTCTCTCGCATGAACAGTGAAAGTGCTCTTCCTTCAGTTTTCTCCACATTAGTCTTGCTTCTGGGGGATGCATCCTTCCATTTCTACAACTTCAGGCCATCCTTCATATTTGTTTGTGTCCTTATTATTCTTTATGTACTGTTAGAACACAATAATAGTATACAGTTTTAAAAACCTTTGTGAACTGCTTATCTGCAGTAACATACTTTAGTACATTCATTTCAGCAACACTCACATCAACAATGAGTTCATATAAGTTATTGTTCAAGACATTAAAAAAGCAACCCTTGGGGCCTGGCATGTAGTGACAGAGCTTCAAATAACAGCTGAAAGAACAAAACACCGCACGTATTTTTTAAAGGATCATTTGTTACTCAAAAAGTAAAGTTTATCTTCTAGCTTCTAAAGTATTTCCAAACTTGATTACAATATGAAAAGATCAATTAAAATCTTTATTAACCAATGCTTCCTAAAAGGCTAAAGATAATCATATGCCAATGCACTGTCATGTAGGAAACAAATTTCCATGCAGAATTTGACTATTTTTAAGTCTTAAAATTAAAACAGCGCCATGGTTATTTCAAATAAGTGATTGATTACTGAGAATTACGAAAAATATATGAACATATTTAAAGTCTGCTTTATCTAAGCTTCAAATAACTCAGATAGGAATGTGTACCATATGGTTTCATACAATTTTCTTTCGTCTATTAATTATGAAAGTCTAAGACACTAACCTGTTCAAAAGGGCTTTTGGTCTTAATGCCTTTACCACCACAGAAGACCCAATTGTCTCGAAAACCAAGAGTAGTAATAGACGTACTCCCCAAGTCAGCAATGAGCCGCCGTGCCTCATCATTGAGTCTTAAAGGAGGAGAGAAAGAATAATACAGTAAATGTAGTGCCCAGTATTTTAGCTAAGTAATACTGACTCACCTAGGATATTTAACACATGAGATACAATGAGAAAATTGCCAGTGTAAATTAAGAGAACATTAGAAAAAGAATAAAGAAACTTTTTCAGAGTAACATTCCTACCATTTGAATTCTTTAGAGACAAATGACATGAAATACAGCAATTGATTTTAAGTTTATCCTATTAAGAAGTACCTTTTAGATGCCTTTATTTCACAACAATAATTCACTTTCATCTACATTCATCAAACAAATAAGGACACTGTAGTTAGTAGATGTTTATCCAGGTTAATCCAAGGTCTTAAGCAATCGATATCTTTGGAAAATTAAAAATCACTTTGAATCTCCACTAAACCCTCTTTAAATTACATTCGAAGAGGATAAAGGTAAATGCTAATAGAAATCAGGATGTTTCTAATACTATTATTTAAAAGAAAATGAAGTTTGAGAATAGGGATATAAATTGTACTTGAGTGATAACTGCCAAGTGGTTATCTAATAAAAAGGAAATATTAACCACACAGCAGCTAAGTACCTGCCAGCAGGAGGAAGAGCAGTGACAAAAATCAACTGCTAGGGAAACAGCTAAGTGAAAGACGCCATTAAAGAACTTTGTGTAGGTTATTACCCAATGCTGAGTGACTCTCAGTCTCCCTTCTGTCTCAAAAGGGAGAAGCAATTCAGTAGAAACATGCTAGCTGTAGAGTTAAAAAAAAAAAGAAAATGATAATTAAGGGCCATCTGTGCAGGTATTTGGCAGTAAGTCCTATATATCACTCAAAAGATGGCACTTATGTGCCCAGCAACAGACGAATGGATAAAGAAGATGTGGTACATATATATAATGGAATACTACTCAGCTGTAAAACAGAACAAAATCATTCCATTTGCAATAACATGGATGGACCTTGAGGGAATTATGTTAAGTGAAATAAGCCAGCGAGAGAAGGATAATCTGTGTATGACTCCACTTATATGAGGAATTTAAAATTATGGACTAAGAACAGTTTAGTGGATACCAGGGGAAAGGTGGGGTGGGGGGTGGGCACAAAGGGTGAAGTGGTGCACCTACAACACGAATGACAAACATTAATGTACAACTGAAATTTCACAAGATTGTAACCTATCATTAACTCAATAAAAAAAAAAAAGATGGCACTTATGGGTCAATTAGAGAGCCTTGTTCTGCTAAAATCTGAGGCAAAGGGAAGATTTATATTTGCAAATGGCTGGAGGATCATTAACTGCAAACAGCATGATCAGAGAGGAAGGTACCTATTTATCCCACGGTGTTCTTTGAAACATCCCAAGCTGACGTCAGCTCCTTTAATGTAGTAATGAAACACTAAGTACAACAGTTCTCATTTAACTAACTTGAAGATAAATAGGTTAGTTTATGTTTTAAAAAAAACAACTTTATAAAACAGGGAAGAACTACATACATCATTAAGCTTTCACAATTTACGCAAACCCCATCCACGGGGCAATGGAGCTGATGTGACCATGGCCTGGCCACTGCTAACCTCCCGGGGGATGTTCACTAGAATCAGGGAGAACATCAGCTGTGCCCTGGAATATTTAGCCTTTCAGACTCAAATCTATATAGAGGGATGCCTTTAAACCAAGTGAAATAAGAATAAATGAAATGGCCACACAAAAGAGCCAGTGAAGACTGAGACCTTCCAGAGATTCACGTGTACTTCCTTCTGGCTTTCTCCCCAGGGAGGTCTGCAGCTGTGTTTCCTGTGCCCATCCTCACATGAATTAGCTTTCACTAATTCACTCATGTGTTCACTTGATAAGCAACTTTTATATTAGGGGGACACTCTCTGAAACTATTGCCTGAACCCTGTTTTCAGTTCCTAGAACTGATCAGAATGGTTCACTGTGCCTAAACTATACAAACAATGCAGCTGATGCTGAACACCTACTTTCCATCTGGGCCTCTGGAATTTTGGGATGTGTTAGGCAGAGGGGACCTACATGACCAGCTCCCAGTAAAAACCCTGGGCACTGTCTTTAATAAGTTTCCCTAGTAGATAGCATTTCACAGCGCTATCACAATTTGTTGCTGGAGGACTTAAGTATGTCCTTTGTGACTCCACTTGGGAGAGGACTCTTGGAAACTTGGGCCTGGGTCCCTCCAAAATTTGTGCATTCTCCCTTTTGCTGATTTTGCTTTGTTTCCTTTTGCTGTAAAAAATCATAGCCATGAGTGAGCAGTTCTATATGCCGAGTCCCGTGAGTCCTCCTAGGGAATCATCAAACCTGGGGGTGGTTTTGGGCACCTCCGAAACATGTCCCTACGTATCTCTAACTATAGTATTATAACAAGGTAACTTTCTCAATAACTTCTAAAGTTTTCTGATCTGCCCATGTAGAATTTGGGGGGATTTTATTATTCCTTTTTGATATCTTCTATTTAATTAAGTAAAAGATAATTTCATGTTTCAAAAAAGTTTAAAACCATACAACAGAGCCAATATTTTGAGCAAATGATTAAACATACAGTAGGTGTCAAAATGCCCTATTTCTTTAAAAGCCAGTGTAACTAATGTATTTACAGGGAGCATATATTTTGGAGAAATAAGCTTTTTATTCTATGCAGGAGTACCATGAGTTTGTTACATATATTTTAATCTTTACTAATGATCTTAACCAGTTGATATGCTAAAAATTTATATGAAATAAATTATTTTAGTTAAGAATTTCTTTAAAATGAATAGAAAATCATTTTGTAACAAACCGGAAGGTAGACGAGACAGAGATCAAGTTTTCCTACAACAGATTCTAAAGCTGAACAGAGGCAATCTGGAGAAGAAAGAGGAAGTGGGAACTGGAGATGGGGAGTCTCTGAGCCCTGCCTCCATCTCTGCTGGGAAAGGAGAAACAACTGATAGTCCTACAGTCACACCATCAAACCAAGCCAATGCTCCCTTTCTCGAAAGTACAGAAAGCAACAAGCAGAACTGATATTCTGAGCTCAACTCTGGGAATAACCACTGGGGAGGTGGAAGTGTTAAGTGTTAAGAACTTTGGAAGAAAATCACCATGTTACCTCAAGAGTTTGAAGAATAAGAAACGCTAGGCATAGATGACCATGTAACCTAGACTTTAAAGAGGCCATATTATAAAAAGTTCAGACTACAAATTCTTATGAGAGATCACGACTCTTTAAAAACAAACAAACTTTAAAAAACCCCAGCAAGTTTCACTATGCAATTGCTTACAATCCCAGGAAAAAGGAGGATAGTTTCTAAATTAGTGCTCCTATAGAAGTGTTCTGTGATGGGCTCAAACTCGAAAAAGGAAGTGTGCAAAAATACAAGGCAAATCCGGGGCTGGCCCCGTGGCCGAGTGGTTAAGTTCGCGCGCTCCGCTGCAGGCGGCCCAGTGTTTCGTTAGTTCGAATCCTGGGCGCGGACATGGCACTGCTCATCAGACCACGCTGAGGCAGCGTCCCACATGCCACAACTAGAAGAACCCACAAGGAAGAATACACAACTATGTACCGGGGAGCTTTGGGGAGAAAAAGGAAAAAATAAAATCTTTAAAAAAAAAAAAAATACAAGGCAAATCCTATTACTAATGATGTAACGTTTACTACTACCACCAGGAAGACCTGTAGTGCTCAGCAGACAAGACTCATTAAAATATTAAAGGCCACAGGAAGAACTTTTGCTAAGTGCAGATAACGAAGGGACCCACTATTTTATAAGAATGATATAACATCGAGATCAAACCATGACCGTCTTTTCCAGGGAGGCAAACACTCTTTGATCAGCATAAAAAGGGAACAGTAGCTGAGGAATGTCTACATAAGTGCTTTAAAGTAAATTCAAGCTCCCAGGCCCACATATGTCACACACTTAAATTCTAAAGGAACTTAATATAGTTTTCAACGCAGTGTCAGTTATTTTAGACACATCATGGAAAATGAAGATGCTAAGACTTTAAAAGTTAGTTAAATATTCCAGTTTTTTAAAAAGACAAGGAAAATTTTAGAAACAATGGTCCGATAAAACTAATTCCAATTCCTAGCAAAATTCTAGAATGGATAACAAAAAGGAGATCTTGTGAGCATTAAAAAAATGAAGAAAAGAAAGAGAGGGCGTAGTGGGAAGGAGGGAGGAACAAATAAAGCCAAGTTATCATCTCAGCTATTTCAGCTTTTGAAGAGGTTTTTGGGCAGCAGATCAGGGGATGTAATTAGCATAGTTCATGAATTTGAAGCAAGCATCTGATAGTCTCAGAACATAGCCTCTATGAATAAAATAATGAAATAGCAGCTGGACGGTCTGCCTATTAGGGTACATTGGCAACTGTCTGAAAAGTAGTTTCTGCAGTTGATTAACAGATGAATCCCTGGGAGGAGGCCTCTAGTGGGGTGGCACACTGCCCTCGGTAAACATTTGCATTGATGACTTAGATTTAGACCTAAGAACGCCTTTGGAGAGAAGATAAAGCCTGGATCATGGAAACCTCATAGGACAAATGTCAAGATCAAAACCAAGTAGGCCGAAATCAGCAAAATTAAATTTAACAAGGATAAATGAATACAAAGTCCTTCATTTAGATTAAACAAAATCAAATTCTGAATGGGGAGAAAGACCTGACTTGGCAGTGGTTGGAAAAAAAAGTCTGAGATCAAATGAAAAGATCTGAGAATTTAACTTGACCAAAAATTCATGAGCCAAAAATGGGATGTGACTGTTTAAAGAAAACTAATACAATACTAATCTGCATGAATATTCAAAGAAATGTAATCTCTAAGACATGGTAAGCTAGCATCTCCATTGTACCCTGTACTGGCCAGACCACATCTGGAACACTGTGTTCAATCTGGGGCGCTCATTTAAAGAGAGATGATAATAAACTAGAGAATGTCTAAGAAATGCAGCCAGGAGGGTACAATGACCTAGAAACTTCACATGATAAAAGTTAAAAAACCCATGTGTATCAAGCCTGGAAAAGAGAAATTCCAATTGGTTTGAAATCCTTGAGGTGTCAAATGATTTGGGGAACTTATTTATTGTTTTGCTGCTACATTTACCCAAGTTAGACTATCAGGTAGAATTTAGAGGGAGATCACCCTGAGAACCTAACATTTACTTAAGAATGGTTTTTTTGTTGTGTTTTGTTTCAAATAGAGAAATGATGAGGGTACTGGCACCCTTAGGAGGTGAGCAGTTCAGGGGTGGTACTCACAGAGAAGTTGCAATCTCACCCTTGCTGGGACGCTGGTTCAGGTGACCTTTAAGATCCCCTACTTTAGGACATCCACATGTAAACCCTTCACTTAGCCACGAAGTTAACATGTCACAGAGAGTTCTTCCCAAAAGGAGGAATACAATAGCAAAATTTGGCTTGCTCATTCAAACTACTATATTCTTCATTAAAGAAACAAAAAACAACTTATTTTAGAAGGGGATGGGTGGAAAGTAGGCATTATTATAGAGACCTGCACTCCCCAAAATCTAAGTTTTCTTAGATACAGGATATTTTTCTGTTTTGTTTTTAAAATGGGCTTCCTAGTTAAAATCAAGAAATATTTGGATAAAAAAAGTAAAGAGGTTTCTTTAGGGCAGAACTTCAGAGCCTTCCAATGTAAATCTCTAAAAGATGCAAAACACAAGGTGCCATCCCCAAACTTACTTGACCATTAGTTTTAAAGGACTGGAGTTCCACCAGAACACACTTTGGGAAATGCTGTGATGGAGGCCAACCCCAGTCATTCTGCTGAATTTCACAGTATAGCCCAGGAGCTCATTACGTATAGTAGAAACCAGGATCAGAGAACTATAGAGAATGGAGTCCTGCTTTCCCTAATCAACATGGATATCAACTCCCTGTCTTGGAGAGAGCAGGCACATCCAATTGGTATTCTAAACTCTCTTGGGTATCAGTGGGAGGACAAACCATTCCTTACGAAGGAAAATCCAGTGGCTCAGTGGCCTTATGTAAGGAAAAGCCATAATACATGAGGAGAAGTAAGCAGGGCTTTTCCCATATAAGACTGGGTTTACCACAACTGATGGGTCGTTTCAAATGTTCCACAATCAGATATGGCAAAGGTATGTTTATATTTTCTTATGTTGAATAGACGTAGATGGCCTTTCACAAGGATTGTTTGTCCATTTCTGTATAAAGGACACAATGCTTACAATTTATTTCACTAGGGTTTGGAGAGGGAAGTATTTGAAATATAAATTCATGTCCCCCAACTGAAAACGCATACAACTGAATTCATTTTAAATGCACAGAAGTTGAGTCACACATTAACCAAGTGTAAAGACATCCAAGTTTAGACTTCTCCTTTTGCCTTATAGGTTGAACCCTCTTCTGAGGCTGTTTTTGGTGCATTTGATGGGTATCAATAAACAGGAGATGAAGAGTAAACAGCATCCTCACCTTGGTTCTTAGGTATGGCTACAATTTATTATTAACAGAAGGGGAACAGGTCTGACGCTCATCAGGAATAATAATGAAATAACCTGACAAAAAAGGGAGGCCATACGCATCTATTCAGAAAAGTAGGGCTTTTTTTTTTTACCTTTAAAACTTCAAATTATACATGTAATATCCTATTCTCTCAGCAAAAGCAAATAGCAAGCTACTTGTTTTTTGACAAGGAAAACCTAATTACATTCTGTTTAGTTTTATCGAGCTGAATGGCAATGGATGAATGTCAGTTTTATTCAACCTTCAATCTATGATATTTAACACATTCTTGACTGAACCAGATAAAATGCACAATGTCAATGAAACTACTTCAGCTTGGAAACCTTCACAAAGCGGCACTATGTTTTTAGTGCATCTCTGCAATAATGTAGTTACACATTAAATGTATCTATAAAAAATTAATACATAGAAAGACATGCCATAATCCTGCGTGGAACTTATAGTTTTAAAGCCTTTTCAATTAAAAATCTATTAGGGATGTTTGTTATTCTTGATAAAAGTAACCTGCGTAAACTATCATAGTTTGAGGAAGAAGACTATTAAAGAGGACTTAGCCCCACCAGAAATGTATTAAGTATACTTATTTTTTTAAAAAAATAGTCATTAAAAAATTGAAATAACATCTTATTAGAGCAGGAATAAACAGATGAACAGAAAAGAACTTCCAGAAACACAGTCAAATCTATATAAAATCAGGCATTTCCCTCACATAAGAACAGTGACTTATAGTCACTGAGAAGTTACAAGTAGTTTCTAAAATACACGAAAACAGTAAAATCACTAGGAGAGAAAAATCTACTAAATATTTAATTTAGAGATGGAAAAACACTTCTCAAATATAAAAGTAGAAGAAACTAAAAAGGAAAATCCATACACTTGACTACATAAGAATTATGTTAAACTTCTAAAAGCCGAAAAGCACCATAGATTAACAAAATTAAAAGCAAAATAATATATTGCAACATGAGAAATGGTTAATATCGTTAACATATAAAGGGCTCTTACAAATCAATGAGTCACAAGACAACTATAGAAGAGCCAAAAACATTTGTGAAAATAATCCAGCCTCACCAATAACCAAAGAAAAGTATGTTAACAAAAAATCCCTTTCCAAAAGTTTTAGTATTGGGAACTTTTAAAAAATTAACAATTGGTGTCATGGAACTTCTGAGAGACACGTAAAATCAGTACAAACTTAAAAAAAATTCTTTTTTAAAAACGTGCACTTCTTCAACAATCTTACTTCAAAAAAATTCGTCTTAAGGAAATAGAGATGATTGTTCAAAAGATTTTTCCTAATTATGAAAAATTGGAAATAGCCTAAGAATCCAGCATACGTATTTTATTAAACAAATTCTAAGTCATGACATATGTTTAAAAACTATACTAGGCAGACATGAACAATTTTGTTATGAAAAATATTTAATAATATGGGAAAATATTGATCACATAAATAAATGAAAAAGGGTGCTATAAATACTACCACTCCAAATGTTTCAAATGAAGAAAACATGTGCATTAAGAAATCTGGAGATGGAAACTAAACTATCATCAATGGTTATCTTTGATAGTGAGATGAACTGGAACTTGTTTTCTTCTTTGTGCTTTTCTATATTTTCCAAATTTTTCTAACATACACAGTTTTAAGAAAAAAGTTACAAACTACCACCTATTAACCTTTATTAAAAATATATCACACTTCTCCTTTTTACAATTAATTCTACTTCTAGGAATTTACCCTAAGGATATAACCAAAGGTGCAAAAAAATTTATGCAAAACGATATTTATCACAATGTTATTTATAATACAAAAAACTTGGCAATAATAGAGAACTTTTAAACAAAAGTGAGGCCATATGATCAACTCTTAGTAAACCATGAAAAATGCTACTGAATATTAATGTCAGAGAAAACAATTTAATTCTGTTAAAAACAGAATATAAAAGAGAATCTAGCAAACTTCATGTACAATATGATTATCATTTCACAACAATATATGCATGGTAAATACATAGAAAGACAGAAGGAAGCAAACTAGAAAAAATGTTAATAGTGTTTATCTGGAAGTTGGATTACTCTGCTCTATTTTATCAACTTTTTTCACTGAAAATGTATTACTTTTATAATTATAAATTATAGCTCCAAAAAGTTGCACACATTTTAAAGTTTACATACTTGGTTGCTCCATCATCATAGGTTCCCATTAAGACTATTGTTCCATCTTGTATAGACTTAAGAAATTCAATAAATGGGGCCACATCTGAGGAAAAAGAAAGAGTTGAAGATTTTTTTTTTAAATGACTAAGTAACCATCATGATAATCTCTAAGTCAATATAAGATATGAAGTGTTTGCAAATCAGTAATTTATAATGTAGGGTAACCAGAAGGGAGATAAATCTTATGAACAAATAAAAATATTAAGTTTGTCCCTTAATATGATCCCACCATCAACTTAAAATTTCCTAATCCTGATTCATCCTACGTGTCTTTGGTACTGATTTTCCAGGGCTAAATGAAAAAAAGCACAGCAAAGTCATATAAAAGCATGCTTAGGATTTAAAGTAAGAAACTCAGGGGTGCAGGAGAAAGGCTCATGGACTCCTTGAGTGTTTGTAAAATTTGTTTGCGTGGGTGCTTTTCTAAAAAGAGGAAATAAAGATTTTATCTAATTCACAAAAGGATCTGTTTCTAAAAAAATTAGATGAATATATACACACACACACATACAAACACAACTGAATTAAGGGATCTTCTGGGCATACCTACTCACTATAAACTAGTCACTACTCGCTTCATCCAGTGTCTCAAGGTTCACAAGGACTTCAAACTAAACCCCTTCACAGTGACTACAAACTGGTGATGCCTGAGGGCGGATCAGGTACACAAACCATTCCACATCCTCAACTCTTCACAATATCCGGTTTCCTTACAGTCCCAAGTCCAATACTACTTCAAAACTGGGTTACCTCAAATTTACTCAGTTTCTTTCCACAGCAAAGATTCCAAAGCTTTTCTCTAATTAAATTCCATGTTATAACAGCATTTTCAATTCAGAGAAAAATGCAGTGGGGCAACTAACAAATCACTTCCATTTAAATGCAAAGATGGCAGTAAACTGCAACTATTTCTTAATTTGAGGAGTATTTTCGGCAGTAATAAATCTACCTGTGATGAAACGCCAGAGTTTCTGGTCACATGACTGATTTCAGCAACAGTGCTGTAAGACTGTTTCTATGTGGTAAGTTTCGGTAAGATCGATTATGGTTTTAGAATCTAAAACTGATGGTAGCATTTTAAGTTTACACAGTTCTGACACATATGGAAAGTTCTCCTAATCTCATCTAAAGAATAAATAACAACTGGCATCTCATCACAAGCTGAAGAAATGCTAGAAAAGCTGAATGGTCTGAAAACTTAAATTTCAGAAAGCCTAACTGCTGTTGGCTCTCAGGAAATATATAAAGTGGTTGGGGTTGGGGAGATGCAGGCGAGAGCCTCATGCTGATAAATTTCCCAAACCAACAACTCAGAGAAAAACCAAAGGATGAATCAGTGTTGATCTTCCTTCAAACTTGAAGAAATTCCTTTCTTTCAGCCACATTCTTCTTGGAAGTGCCAGTTCCTTGCCTCTGCATACTGATGACTGATTTCTACCCGCTCCAAACTTCCAAATTAGGAAGATATCCGCGTATTGTTAGTCCAATGAACTAGAAAGAAAATTCTATTCCTTCTCTCAAATATTCATCTACTTCAATAATAATCCCAGTTATGATTAAGTTTTGAGACTGAAAAATCATACGTAAAGAAATCAATTCAGCCAGTTAAAATGCTTCAATTGGTTATGCCCTTCTTCAAATGACTTATTTTTTTAAAATTTCAGATAGAAACCTAAAGAAGCCCAAAGCTTTCAACAGTTGTCCTGCAGAAAATAGAACTTTAGATTTAAAAAAAATCTCAATTTGGATATTATTGCTCTTAATTACACACTGCAATTTTTATAAAAAAGCAAAGTATATATAATATGACTGATCACCTAAATATAGGTGGGCCTTTAGCGAAAAGAAAGTAAGAGAAACAAAATGAACTAACACAAAAATAGTAGCATTTTTCTCTCACTAATGGGCTACATTATATTGAGGTGATTAAGAAGTCAGAGCTAGCAAAGGAACAGTTACATGTTATTCACACTTACCTCCTCCCCACATGTCAAAATATTTGGTATCTATTACTTCTCCTGTTTTTCCTGAAAGAGATTGAATTCATACCAAATTATGCAACTGAAATATACTCTACACTGTATGAGACAAATGATCTTATCCAATGATTGATGTGAATTCATGAGCAGAGAAAGAATTACTTTAAGAAAGACTTAAGGGGCCGGCCCCGGGGCGGGGCGGTTAAGCTCCTGCGCTCTGTTTTGGCGGCCCAGGGTTTCCCTGGTTCTGATCCTGGGCGTGAACACGGCACCGCTCTTCAAGCCATGATGAGGCGGCATCCCACATGCCACAACTAGAGGGACCCACAACTAAAAATACACAACTATGTACCGGGGAGCTTTGGGGAGAAGAAGGAAAAATAAAATCTTTAAAAAGACAAAATCTGAACTGTATGCAACCGAAATATATTTCTGAAGGGTAATTTCTGGAGAGGACTTTTTCACTTATCTTATAAGCCAAAGAGTAGCAAATAGAAGTTCACCACTGACTGCAGACTATTCAAATTCGACGTTAGGTATTTATCATCCTTATGTGTTACCATCTTCCCTTATTTAAGAATTACCCCAAAATACATAAACCTTTCACAGAAAGATTTATTATAATTAATTAATTATAATTAATTGTTACCCTTCATTCCTCCCCCATCCCATCCAATAGTCCATCACCCGTTGTCATTTTACACACCCACATTCATGTCAATCTATCTTCACATTATATTAGAATTCTAAAATTTGCAGCAAGAATTCATCAATGTAACGTCAGATTTGTGGTTTTCTGACAATCTCATGGGAGGCTCTCCACGCATTGCAGTTGGACACTTCCGAGAAAGCATGCTACAATTTAGACATTGAGTCTCCACCTACAGCTGATTTTCTGGGGGCTGGGGGGAGGAGTGGGAGGAGGACTTCAGTGTCAAGAGTGGTACTTTCTGACTTGATCCCTTGATATTATAGTGTGTTTTACTTTGGGGCATATGACTATTCACTGACTACATCCATAAGCTAAAATAACTACTCTTACCATTTACCAAGGCAACATTGATCCCTCTTCCAACATTATTCTTGACACCACTCATTAAACTGAAGGAAAAAAAGTCAAGACAAATTTAGAATTAGATATTGCACAAACATACATTAAAGAAATAAAGAAATAAAAGAAGTTGGGGATATTATATACACACAATTGTTTAGTACTGCAGAGGAGATTAAAAGGTCTCTACGAGGTTAGAGAAGACAGTCTAACATTGAATAACTTTAAAGCAGTGTCCTTAAATAAAACTTCACAAATAGAAGTAGACATTAACAAGTATTAGGGCAAAATACTAGTCTATTTCTTGTTGCTCTGCGTCAGACCATGAAACACCATTTTAGAAAGTCTTTAAAATGTGTGGACATTATGCACATATTCTGCACCATTCTGAAGGGATCCAACAATTGATAACCTCTTTTGCACTTTCTGCAATATCAATGTGACATGAAACAGAAGTGAGATGCTACCCAAATCTTTTATAATCTGAAAGCAAGAATGTTTCATGAATGTTTCATAAATGTTTCACCTAACTGTGAACATTTCCTTAGAGATTATCAGTGGAAAATTTCCCTGTACTCAGAAGGAATATAGAACTCATATAATGACAGCATCTAACCATGGTCACTTGTATTGTCATACCTGAGGGAATTAACATCTGCTGGTAGCTTACAGACCACTACATAAAGACAATGACACTGTGAAATAGAAGGCATCAGTAACACATTTGCCTGGTATCAGTTCAGCTTGTTCAATCAGAATTATTAAACTTAAATTTTGGGTACCTTTAATTGTTAAAATTAAAGGTAATAGTAATACTTCCACTGGTGTGCTATTCAATGTTTAACAACTGGTTTGAGGTTGAGAGAGAGGGAAGAGTATGCATGTGTGAATACACACACACATATCCATATATTTATACACCTATGCACACATATACAGGTACATAAGCTTATTATATAAATTTTACTGATATAAAGAATGTATAGCACACAATTTCACAAATAAAATCTATAATACTTTATTGCCAATTCCACACATAGCCAATTGATTCTCATAGAATTTTAGTTTAACTCATACAGACAGAACTCATATGTATAGCTAACCTATGGTTGCAACTGATGAATGAGTGCAGTTCTAATTCTCAAAACTCAGCAGTAAAAAAGCAAACAATCCAATTGGAAAATGGATGAGACATGAATATTTCCCTGTAGAGGATATACAAGTGGCAAAAATCACATCAAAAGATATTCAACAGCACTAGGGACAAAGGAAAGAAAACTGAGATATACCACACACCTATGAGAAGAGCTAAAATAAAACACGGTGACAATACCAACCACCGGCAAGTACACAGACAGAAGCTGGAGCTCTCATACATGCTGAGGATGTAAAATGGTGCAGTCACTCTGGAAGATGCTTGGCAGCTTCGTACAAAATTAAACCACCCAGAATTCCTGGGCACTTTATCACAGAGAAATAAAAATGTACGTCTACACAACAACCTACACATGATTGTTCGCAACAGCCCAAAACTGGAAACAACTGAAACTGCTGGCTGAGGATAACAGGTGATAGATAAACAAACTGAGGTACGTCCATACCATAGAACACGACTCAGTAATTAAAAAAAAGGAGTGAATTATTAATACACAACAATATTTCAAGAGCATTATGCTGAGTGAAAAAAGCCAATCTCAAATGCTCACATATGGTATTGATTCTGTTTATGTAACATTCTTAAAACCTCAAAATGATGGGAATGATAACAGATTAGTGGTTTTCAGGGTCAGTCATGGTGGGGATGACTATAACAGGGTAGCATGAAAGAGATCTTTCTGGAGATGGAATAATTCTGTATCTTAATTGCTATATTGGTTACATGGATCTACACAGGTGATAAAGTGACACAGAGCTATATGCATACATTATACCAAGGCCAATTTCCTGGTTTTGATATTATACTATAATTATGGGAAAACTGGGTGAAGAGTATACAGGACCTCTCTGTACTATCTTCGCAACCGCCTGTGATTTCTGTGATTATTTCAAAATAAGTTAAAAAAACACTCTACTCCGAGGTCCATTAAAAAAGGAAAAGCATAAAAATTTGATTTTTAAAAGCTTAGTAGCATCTATTTATCTATCCATGCTGGTTGCACATCTGCCTTCAAAATTTCACTTGTCATTCTCCCAAATTTACACGTAATAAAGTATAGACCTTTTTTTATGTGTGTGCAAGATTAGTTTTGAAAGGAGGGCCATAAGAGGACCAAACAAATCTGCGGCACAAAAGAGGAGGGAAGTTTCAAAATGCATTTGCTCTGCTCCTTTCAGAAATACATTAGATGAGTGAACCATCATTAATATTAAGAGGCAATAGCTAAGATTAACCTGTTAGATTAGTAATTAAGTGTCACAGTGTCTTCTCTAAGGAGAGATCATCTTCAGAGTGTGCTGTTGTGTCTATCACACAGCAAACAAACAGAGGCAACAAAGAAGCACTATGGTATGCTTCCCACAAGAGGGCAGCAGCTGACCAATTTTTAAAAACTGGAATTCAATCAGGGCTTGAAACTTGTATCTAGCAAATGACAATCCACTGAAGATTTTAAATGTTTAAAGGTTAGTCACTCTTACTACCACAAGTTGAAATATTTTCTTTTATCCTTCATGAACATGAAATCCACACTACACCTCCAGGTAAAAGTCTAAAGAAAATGATTATATTATCTATAAATAGATTCTACATCTTTGAATACAGTTTTGTTTCAAATACCTACTATATGTTCTAGCTACTACGTCTTAGAATGATAAGTTTAGAGCAGGGCTTAACAAACTACAGCTCATGGACCAAATTTAGCCAGCTGGCTGTTTGTTTTTACTACTCATGAGCTTGGAATGGTTTTTACATTTTAAAGGATTATATAAGTACCTATATAATATCCTTGATTTTACCTTTTGGTCCTCACAGTGAAAAATACTAACTGGCCCCTCAATGTAAAAATTAAAAAAAAAATCCCTGAAAATAGTCTGCTATAAATATATTCCTGTACCAAAAATTAAGATTATAACAGGGGCCAGCGCGGTTGTGTGGTGGTTAAGTTCAGTGTGCTCCACTTAGACAGCCCAGGGTTCGCAGGTCTGGATCCCTACACACCACTCATCAAGCCATTCTGTGGTGGCGTCCTACATACGAAATAGAGGAAGATTGGCAAAGATGATAGCTCAGCAACAATCTTCCTCAAGCAAAAAGAGGAAGATTAGGGGCCGCCCCATGGCTGAGTGGTTAAGTTAGTGCACTCTGCTTTGGAGGCCCAGGGTTTCTCCAGTTCGGATCCTGGGTGCAGACATGGCACCGCTCATCAAGCCACGCTGAGGCGGCATCTGACATGCCACAACTAGAAAGACCCACAACTAAAAATACACAACTATGTCCCAGGGGGCTTTGAGAGAAAAAGGAAAAATAAAAAATAAATTTTTTTTAAAAAAAGAGGAAGATGGGCAAAAGAGGGAGACTGGCAACAGACGTTAGCTCAGGGCCAATCTTCCTAGCACACACAAAAAAGATGATAACAAAAAGTGAAGTATTATTCCTAATAACAACTTCATATAAACTGAAATCAAATGAGTATATGCCTAAAATAAAAGCTCTATCTTGAACATATTCAACTCTACAGGTTCTCTAGTACAAGAGAAAAAGAAGCTACAATTCCTGTATTGTGTGATAACCTGCTGTTTATATCCAGGATTTTCTATTTCTTTCTTTTTTTTTTTTCTTAAAGATTTTATTTTGCCTTTTTCTCCCCAAAGCCCCCTGGTACATAGTTTTATATTTTTAGTTGTGGGTCCTTCTAGCTGTGGCATGTGGGATACCACCTCAGCATGGCTTGATGAGCGGTGCCATGTCCGCACCCAGGATCCAAACCGGCGAAACCCTGGGCCACCGAAGCGGAGCGTGCGAACTTAACCACTCAGCCATGGGGTCAGCCCCTTTCTATTTCTAACTAATGAGAAGTTGAAGTCCATCTTAATCTCCACACTGCATCTTGACTGCATCTACCCGTCCTTAAAACCACGACTACCCGCCTAATCTTAACCATCATTTTTTGTCTGTATTGGGGTTTCTCAAATTCAGTCTATGATGATATCATGGACCTGATAGTTCATGCAGAAGGGCTGTCCTGTGTACTGTCGGATGTTTAAGAGGAACCCTTAAACATCTATGAGTAGCACCTCCACAGCTATGACATCCCAAAATGTCTCCAGACCTTGACAAATGTCCTATGGGGAGCAAAACTGCCCCCACTGAGAAGCACTGATCTGGACTAGTAGTCTCAAAAATGAGTCTGTGTGTACTCAGAGGGCATGCAGGAAAATATTAAAATTTCTACTTATGTATTTTTAGTATCTACTTATAATGTTTTACTGGGTGCACATGCAAAAAAAGTCTGTTACCAATGGGGAGGCAGTGTTAAAGAGCTGTGGCAGCAATTAGCAATGGCTTCCCAATTTCTCTCTATACTTCTCTAATCATTTTTACACAGCAGTCAGAAAATTTTTTTCAATGTAAATGAAATTATGACAGTCCAGAGTTTGAAAACCTTCAACAACTTCTCAACACACTCAGAAAAAAGATCTCATCTCTTTACCTGCATGGCCCATAAGTTTCTACTGGCCTGGCCCTTATTCGCTTATCTCCAGCTCTTCCCCATCTTAGGGCCTTTGAGCATGCTTTTCCTTCTATCTAGAATGTTCTTCCCCTACTCCTCACCTGCTGTCTTCTTTTTCTCCTTTAATTTTCAAGCTAAACCTCATTGTCTTAGAGAAATTATTCCTTGACCCACTTGATCTAAAACTGGACCCCTCAACCTCATCTCACTCACGTCCATCAGTATTCATGAGATCCTGCTGCTCTGCACAGCTTGTGCCACAATTTGCAATTATTTATTTGCATTTACTTCTTAAATATCTGTCTCCCATATTAGACTGTAAGTTCCATGACAACAGGAACTATGTTTAATAAATACTTGAATGAGTGAATGAATGATGCTAGGAAGATTCAGACACGTACTTCAAAATTTTTGTTGGAAAAACTTTCAATACAGAAATAGAATGTACTGGAAAACATACTAGACTGTGAATTGGTGCCAGCAGTTTCTCCACTGGAGATCCCCTGGCCAAGTATTCAGCCCTTCTTTGGAGATCAGATTTCATGACCTGAGACCTAGCTATGAAATCCCATCAATTATTTAATCTCTCTTGGGAATGGCAGGATGATTCTTGAAATTAGGATGGATGGGTGGTCTGCCTCAATTTTATAGTTAAAAAGAATGAAACACAAATTCTATATGACACTCCCCCATCCAAGAACCAAATTCTCTGTCTCCAAGCCCTGTACTTATTTTACCAGACTCCACTGCCTACATACCTTTCTCCTTTTTTTTGACCTATATAATCTGTGAACAGAAAACCTGCTAGTAAAGAGTTTGGTCTCTTCTTCGCTTTAAAACATCCAAGCTTCAAGAGGGCAGAGGAAGTCTCAGGACGATCTACCATGGGCTGGGCATTCTAAGAGAACTTTCCTCCCATCACTTAGAATCAAACTTTGGGCCTCTTTAGCCAAACAAGGTGAAAAAGGGGAATAGGAACATTCTAAGTTAATGGGAAGGGTATCATTTAACATAAAATCCACAAACTTCCAAAATCCAAGTGCTTTATTACATAATTCAGTAAAACAGGACCATTTTGAGAAATCAGAAGGCAACAATTAACAATAGGTTATCATTCACATGAGGGAAAAGAAAGGAAATGAGTAGGGACCTTAAAGAGCACTTAGCTCAAGCCCTTAATTTTATAAGAAAAGTGTTATTCTAAGAGGCTAAATAACTGCCCATAGTTAACTGAAATGGGGCTAGGATAAGAATTTAAGAGCTTCTATATTAAACAGAAAAGACACACAAAATGCAGGGAGAAACTGCCTAGTTCTCCTACCCGTAAAACTACCTCACTCTTTATTCTACATAATTGATGGCATATTTGTTATTTTACATGAAGTTTAAATAAGCTCATAGATCTTATTTTCTAGGCAAAGGCAGATTAAAAGCAACCAAATAAAAATAAGGTATTTGACTTCAGAGGCAGGAATTTCAAGTGACAAGTGACAAGTGACAGTCGGTAATGAGGTAGGAGACTGCAAAACCTAAAAACTGTATTTTGTAGAGCGTCTCAATATAGGAAAACACTCAGCTTAGCGGCAAGCTGTTCTGTGCCACAAGACTTGGGGTTATTACTGGATTATTTCACACTTCAACAAGCAGCATTCAAATATTTAAAACGAAACATGCTGGTTTGTAAGATAGTGTTCATTATCTAGGGCAGGGCTGTCCAACAGGACTTTTTGCAGTGATGGGCACGCTCTCTTTCTGTGCTGTTCAGTTCGGTAGGCACAGCCATATGTGGCTACGGAGCACTTGAAATGCAGCTAGTGTGACTGAGGAACTGACCTATTTTAATTTTAACTAATTTCAATGAATTGACTTTTCCCCTATGATTTAAGGATCAAAAGTAAATAGCCAAATGTTTCTATGGCTACCATATGGGACAGCACAGAGCTAGAGAACTCAAGGGGAAATTCCTCATCTCTACACAAAGCTAGATAGACGCTGTATTCTTATATTACTCTTTAATATGAAATTCAAGACCTTTTTAAGATTCAAATGTGTAGGGAAAAAATGGCTCAAGGAAAATTAAAATCTCTTTTCTTTAGTAAAAGCATACCCAACACAGTTTCAAAAGATCTATTAAACTCAGGTTCAATTTGCTATAATTTAATAGTACACCTTACACTTCCACATCAATAAATACTTACATATTGTCTTCCAGGCAGATTTTGGGTCCCACCACATTGGCTGCGCCACTTGCCATTTTAAAAGCAAAATGCTTCTCAGGGCAGGCTTTTGAGATCCCACATTTATATCTGGGAGGTTTAGTAGCTTTGGGGGAGAAAAGATATATATTTTTTAAAAAAACAATATTAATGGACTCTACAATCAGTTTGTTTCATATCTCAAACCACAAAGGGCATTATGTAAAACATCAAGATACATATGTCTTAAAATACATGCTAGGATTTTTTTTTCTGAGGTAATATGATCTTGATGAGGGTAAATATACCTTATCTAGTTATTTTTTAGTTTGTTTTTAAAATTCAGGATGGGGGTAGGCTTTGAATTGCTACTTTGCATTTCTAGTCCATATATGCACACCAATGGTTACCTCCAGGACCAGGAAAATGCCCAATGCACCACTGAATACCTGCTCATGTACTAGTTCTAACTAGGAATTCTGCCTTTACAACCTTTCTGTACTTAGAGTACCGAAGCTGAAAAAACACTAATGAAACAATATATCCATTATAAATAAATACCAAGAATACTGGGCTGTCCGATCAGATAACATCCTTATAACTTTAAAAAGCAACTTCTAAATCAGTTTTTGCTCATGTTACACTATCTCCATTCCTCAAATATAAGTTCTCATATGCCTAAGATAAAACAGAACAAACCATCTGCAAAATATTGAGATGAAATACTTACCACGTGCAGCTGTGTCCAATGCTGACCTTGCTAAGAAAAAGAAATTATCTTTGTTAGAAGGAATAACACAATTGGCAAGTATCCACATTTTAAACATATTTAGAGCTAATAGGCCTATAAAATACAAGAAATAAAACATTGCTTTAGAGAAAAAAGTGAGAAAGTAACTTTAGGCTACATAACTCACTATAAACAATTATATAGAGGAGTCATAGAGGGTAGTATTTTATCATTGATAGAATATTTTATATTTACCTTTTGTTTTTATTTTTAGTTATTATAAATCTAAATCTCATTCAGAAAGTTACTCTACCACTTACCTTTAAATGCCTTTAAATATATATTTGGCGAATAATAGGGTGTTTAAAAGTTGTTGCTGCTGTATGCTGTTGTGTACGTATGCATATAAAACCCCGAAGAACATACATAAACCTTTCTTAGTAGTTAGGCTATGGGGATTGGGGGGGCCAGGGGCAGCACGGAAACGGGAATGGGACATGACACCAGATGGATGTGGGGCACAAGCGGGATGGTGGGGTGGTGGTCAGGAGCTTTAACTTCTCTAAAATAGAAATGTATTGGGTGTAATTAAAACATTAAGGTCATTACTAGGAGTTTTGTAATTTTTCAGTTCAAGGAAGCCAGACCGTTCTGATCCACTTTAACTTGAATGCAGTAGATCTCAATCTGGCCATCTACACTTAGAGCTTTCTAAAAGCATTAACATCTGAATTGTAATCAGGAGACTACAATTCAGGTCATCAATAGTATGGGGGACAGCCATTTCCTGATTTAGCTAATAAGCATTCAGTGTCATAAATGTTTGCCAGCTGTTTGACTATAAATAGTTTTTAGTTCTGTACTATTTTAGATAACTGGGAATTTCCTGTAAGTCCAGTACTCAAATGGAAGAACAGAAACTTAAAAGAAAAATAATATGCAAATGTTGAAAAAGAGGAGAATAATCAAGTAAATGAAGGCTTGTTAACTCTATAGAACACTCAGAATATTATGCACCACTAAAGTCAGATAGGCAAGGACTTGAAAGAAACAAAAAATGATCGGTTAGTAAATTAGGGTGTTGGGATTTCTGGGGCTCATTCTTTCAGTTTCCTTAATTATGTCATAAAAGTAAGGGAAAAAATAATTCTGGTGATCAATGGTCCAATGCTTTCAAGTTTTGTAAATGAGAAAACGAAAGCTCAGAGAGTGATCAGCAACCAGTGATTAGCAGCATGAAGACTAGCAATTCTCAATTTCACTTTGTCCTGAACAAACACGTATTATCAGGCTCAAGTGTTAAGACGCTTACAGAGGAACATTGCTCAAATCAGGAGTTTTGGTATACCTGGCTTATGGTAACAGAATACAGGGAAGACAGCGGCATCAGAATGGGGGTAATATAACATAGCTCATTCACATAGGCTGGACACTCGGTCAAGTACTTTCACATGTATTATTGATTTGACCATCATCCCTGTCTGAAACATAAAGAAACTGGGAACAGAGAGGTTTACTGGTTTGATTTGTTCTAAGCTATAGCTAGTAATTGGCAGAGCTAGTTTTCAAAGCCATATCTCATTCTAGCACCCAAACTCACAGGGTACCACCCCCAAAAAAGTAATGTCTGAGATCTCATGAACACATGAACAAAAACTGCTAGTCCTGCTAGGAATGGGGAGCCAGGATAGGGAGCTTTTGGAATAACCTTCTGAGTGAAGAGTACAGACAAACTGCAGAGGGTTCAAGACTTCAGACAAGTACACAAGGACAGGGACGCTGCTGAAGTAATCCAGGTAAAAACGGTAGCAGCCCAAACAAAGATAGTTTCCGTGGGTTTGAAAGAAGTAGAAAGGTTCAGAACAACTAAGGAAGTATCACTGAAGAGACTTGGGAATGGACGAGAGGGAGAGAGGATGCAAAGGGAGGAATCAAGTCTCTCTCTCAGACATTTGGCTTTAGAAGCCTTCATTTATTCATTCACATGAGCCAATGAACAAAAACACCATCTCTGCTCTCAAGATGTTTATAATCTAGTGAGGAAATGGAGATGGGGCAAGGGATGGATGATGAGTTCTGTGTTGGATCTGTTCATTTTAAGATACTTGGAGACAATCCAAGTGGAAAAGTCCAGAGGCCAATTGTAAATGAGATCCGGGATGAAGATACAAACTGGAAAAATCAGCAAATGATGAGGCCACCCAAAGAGAAGATTTAAAGTGAGAAGACGGCTGAGGAGAGGATCTGAGAGACATCAACAATCAAACAATGCTCAGAGGAAGAGTGTGGCTGAGGAAATGGAGGCAGAAGGAAAACCAGGGATGAGCCTCTAAAATGGTCAAATGAATCTGCTTGTAAAACTTAAGAGATGCGGAAAAAAAAAAAAGTAAATGCTACTCAATTCAAAAAACTTTAGTGGGATACAATTTTGGGAAAACCAGTTTCCCTTCATCATCAGGCTTTCAATCAAATAATATCACCTCCATTTAATTTGCATAACAGTAAGGGGAGAAGATGCTCAAAGGTACAGAAACTCTCGAGAAAGGCTTTTCTTTCCAGATGAAAACTAATTTTTATCCAATATTCATCAAAACCAAAAGTCTTCTACTAGGCCTGCAATTCTGAGAATTTTAACATCTGGAGGCAAAACGGGTAAATTTACACAAGCAAAACAGGATGTTGTCCAAGAGTATAGGCACAGCATCCGAAGACAAAAATCCCTCCTTTGTGCAACTTTTGTTCCTTAAACTACCTTGACAGCTCTAATTCTCAATTTCTTTCAATATACAACTTTTCACTTCAAGGAACAAATAAACATTTCTGATTTGGTTTCATCAATGAATATCTTTCAACAAGTCAGGCTAAAGAAATCAGAACTATTTTGTACTTTTTAAGTATAAAATAGTTTTTGATAATGTGCCAAGTTATTTATGTCTATACTATTTATCAATGGTTTCAATTTGAAAGGGTAAAAATAAATCAACTCAATAGAACATTAAGTATTTACGACAGCAATATATGCAAAAGTAATTTGAACTGCGTTCAGTACATTTACTGGTTGTTAAGTATCCACACTGAAAACTAATGCTATGTTAAATCACAATCGTGACTAAGGATGGTGGATTGTACCTAGGTAGATAGCCTACTTGGGACACTATATATAGTTTTGTAAGATGTTAACAATATGAGAAACTGAGTAAAGGGTATGCAAGATCTCTCTGTATTATTTCTTACAAATCCATGTGAATCTACAGTTATCTCAAAATAAAATCTTTTGGTAAAAAATTGTGTTAAAAAATATCACAATTTATTTTGGTAATTTCAACTACTAATTATGGGCAAAACTTTTCATTCTTCTTTTCCAAAAATAAGTTCACTTTATTTTTTCTAAAACAGTACTAGACAATCAACCTGAATTTAAATTTATAGAAACTACCAAGTAATTTATATATCAAAAAGTTGAAAAAATGGAAAACTTACCACCAAAAGAACTATAATTAAATCTCACGGATCTCCCTAAGATACTTATTATAGAAACAATCCTAATGTCGAGTTAAACTTATTACCCTTTCGTAAATTAAGTTAGATGTTAAATGAATGGTAAAGACAACAATATATTCATCTTTGCTCAATTATTCTGAAATAAAAGCGAAAATTTAACCATATAAGTTAAATTTTTACCCGTTCAATAGATTGGAATCTAATAAGGTTTGGCGGATACATGTGCTACTACTTCAGTTGTGACAATAAAATAAACCATATGCCACCAGAATGCCTAAATCAAACAGCTAAAGACACACAGTAAAACCTTGCAGGTTCCTAAAACTAGGAAAAGTCAAAATGAAAGCCAGGAAAGACAACTATCCTAGCTGAAGTAGCTGAGTGTTTTTCATAGCTGACAACCGTAGCTTTTCAACTAATGCAGCTTTAAATGAATCCCACTTTGGAAATACTCTTCCTCTCCACGTAAAAAAATCCTAATTCTTAATTACCTACATTCATCTTCCATTCAATTGGCAATACTACCTACAGGGCCTAGTGCTAGATGCTGGGTGAAGCTCCAAGATATTATTGCCCTGAAAATTCATTCTCCAGTAAGGGGAGATGGATACTTGAAAAAGAGTAAAAGAAAATAAATTCTATCGTGTAAGTATGTAATTAATCAGTGCCAAATTAAGATATTAACACTATGCATTAAAACAAACAATTCAGAAAAAGGAGTAACACATTCTATTAAGGAAAGAGGGAGGTTCAAATACAATTTCTCTCAAGAAGGAGCATTTATGCAGTTTGAAAAAAATGAGAAGGATTAGCTGACGAAGGGGAGATGAGAAGGACGTGCCGGGTGGGGAATCAGCATGAGCAAAGACCAAAGTATGAAAGGACAGGGTTTGTGAGTGCCAATGGGCCCTGTGAATGTGAGGCATGGGGTGGGGAGGGTGGAGAACAGGGGAGAAAGGCAGAGGCAGGTTAGGCGGGTTTGAGGGCCAGCCTAAGTAGGGAGTTCAGATTTTCCTGTCCAATAATTGGAAGTACTACAGGTTCATGAGTTTCTAGAGAATCGCTCTGGCAGTGGTGAGACAGGCAGACATCAAAGATAAGAAACACATGTAGCGACATCCCTGTGATGTTTACAGAAACAGTCCAGTCTAGAGATCTGGATGCAAACTAGGCCGGACACTGTGGCTTCATCCTTCATCGTTCTCTCTGAAAACAGTGGATCTTTCCCCAGAGTAATTATTCTATTTGTATCAATGGTCCTATTGCCTGCCTTCCCTCAAGGATCCATCTTTTCATGTCTGTTCAATCTCTTCCCACCAATTTGTCATTCACTGAATCTTTGCCCAAGGCCGATAGACAAGTGAAAGTCTCTCCATTACTTAGGAAAAAAAATGCTGAACTTGCTTCAGCCTCAAGCTACCATCCCATAATCTTCTTCCCTTACCATCAACCTTTCTTAGAAGACTTAATTATACACATGGTTTCCACAGCAACACTCAACAAGCCCTCAATGCCTTCAATGTCGTGCCTGCCCCATCATTCAACTGAAATCAGCTGCCTTCTCAAAGGCCACCTGGCTGGCCCCTTTACAGTAAGAGAAGTATACAGTCATAGAAGAAGGCAAGTCAAGTCTCACTATACTTTGCAGGAACTACTCTGTGCTGGATCCTGGATACTTCATTTTAAGATGGGTGCTGAAAAACAGGTGGTACAGAAGGAGAATAACCAGTACATTAAGAGAAATGATCGAAAGGGGAATTCCTCAACTTAAAAAGATGGGAATTCGTAAAAAGATCGCCTGAAGGAATATGCCTCCAATTTAACTATTTGAGGGATCATTAATGTTGAAGGGAGCTCCAGCAGGTAGAAGGAAGATCAGTGGATTGAAATTACTTGGGAATGTAAAAGGCAGAGTTCAGAGCCATACAAGGAAGTGCTTTTAAGTAGTCATTGTAAGAAAAGTCACCTGAAAATGTTTATACAGAAATTGATGACTATATATCAGATTTGCCTAAAGCCTTGATACTCAGTAGGTGGTCCATGGATAGGAACCTCAGCATCACCTGGGAGCTTGTTAGAAACGCAGTCTCAGATCCCATCCCAGACACTGAATCAAAATCTGCATTGACCAAGATTCCCTGGTGACTCCTTTGACATTAAAGTTTGAGAAGCACCAGTTTGAGGGAGTCTTGAAACTAGATGTGAGAGGGAGTGAATTAGGTCTGGGGATCCCTCCCAAATATTAATTTAGGAAAGCAAAATTGACTATTCCAGAGTCTGAAAGTTGTTTTACCCAATTCCTGCCTACTACATCAAAATACTGTTTCTCGGTTTCCTAGTCTCACCTTTCGTGTGTAATCTTTTAATACCTTAAATGATGCTTCAGCCAAAGCTTATCCATACATTTCAAATGGTAACTTATTTTATTAACTTAAAGATTCTGTTAAAAACTGAGTTAAGGTAGCTTACAATAGTATGTTTACAACATAGCATTAAATAAATTGGTAAAAAGAAAAATGTTGCAGAAGGAAAATAAAGGTAGGAAAACAAGATGGATTTCTATGGCTGGCATTTAAAATGCATTATTATGACTCCTAATCACTTGCTAACTGAGGGCTAGATTTGGTTTCAAGTTTTCTAGAAGGGTGTGATATCTTCTAGAATGCACATTTAGAAGGCTATGATTAATGTCTCTAAGCATGTATAAAACAGATCCCATTAAATATTCAAAATGTTGAATAGAAGATTGATGCTTTACACTGAATTAATTCTAAGACTTTCTATTGTGTACTTTAGAACATTTTAATGAACCACACTTACCAATATAATTACATTTTCTTCTCTAGACAGACTGAACAGCAGAGTGACTCAATGTTGATCACCAGTAAAAATTTAAAAGACAATCACAGCAAAAATAAGATTAAAGAAAGGGAAAAGAAAATGAAACTTACCAAATAGATTTCCTAAACTTGCATCCATTTTTATTTCAAATACTTGAGAAATAACATAAAATGTCAGTAAAAATACTGCCACAGCTACCACCAACTTTGCAGCACCTAGATAAAAGGCAGAAATAACTCAGCATGAGCTTATGAGCCCAAAGAACTTGTATTATATAGTATTTCAATGACAAAATGTAAGTGTATAAGAAAAACATGTTTTAAGACTAATAGATTTCTACTTTTTATCTATTGGATCTTAATTTTACTTAAGTTAAAACAAAAATTGTACCAACAATCCATCAAGGGATTTTCCTGATGAAAGAATTATCAGATTGGCTAGCAATCTAGCCAAGGAACTGCTTGAGTTATATGTCTGTTTTACATCTAGAAGAATGACCTGCCATCAGTTGCTGGCCAACTATACAAAAGTATGATGGCTGATGGAACACCACCACCAAGTATGTTGGATGATGCATTCCTAACCCTTCTCAAATATAAAGGGCAATACTATACAGGGATGATGCAAAAACGCTGGACCTTCTGGAGATACTAAGGCAAGAGAGCAGGATGTCCACTAAGCAAGGAGTCCTCCAGTGAAATGTAGCAGGCCTACTGTCCTCTCACCAACCAACATCTCTCCTGGAGCTACACAAGCGCTCCTGGGATGGTGAACAAAAGTACTCCGCCTCATACTTAATACCTAGTTTAAGACGGGTCTTCTCAACTCCCAGAGGACTTAATTTGGCTCCTATCACATATGCTTCATAATGTGGCTACATGATAAGGTCTGTTTATATCTTTAACCATTTCTGAGTGCCTTACAAATAGCTAACTTTAACTAGTTAACTGCTTAATATGAAACATATTTGTTCTCTTTCTCTATAGCTAAGCAAATCTAAGACAGAAAAAGGGCAAGATAGGAAAGGAAATGGAAAATGACAGGAAAGAAACATCTTCCTCTTACCCTTAGGATCTTAGAGTCATCTCATTAGTTATTCGGGAACAATATTAACATTGTACAATCCCCATTCCCCTCTCTCACCAAAAGTTTAATTTATATTGATCTAAAAGAGGTAGACGAGATCAGCAGTCATCTCACTATCCTTATGGAAACAAAAGCCCAGAAGTGAGGCAACCACCCAAGATTACAGGTAAATTAGCGCAGCATAAGGACTGGGGTCCAGGGATCCTGGCAGAGCCCAGTGCTTTGTACAGCTCTCGATTCTAACACTCACTTATGACAGTCTCCTGAAAACCTACCAAAACTCAACTTATTGGGTAAGGAAGATTAAGAAAGCACTACGTTCATTCTAATTTCATAAACCTAAAAAGATTAGGACTACATTCTTAGACGAGGGAAGGAAATGAACCAATAATGCTCAGAAAGGCTGATGATGCTGAGAAGCACTAATTTCTCAGAGCTACTCATTTCTATTTAGAAATACTCTATAAATATAGAAATGAGGTGGCAACGAGGAAGCCTAACTACCAAACTAATTAACCCCACACTTCCTCTGTTTCCTACCTTCTCTCCTCCAAAAACTGTGCTTCCTGTTTTCAAGAGCAACTACAAGTGTTTCTAGTGCATAAGAGTGCAAAATTCATGAGGCTTTGAACTCTTCCCCCCACAGGATCTAACAGAGTGCCTCATACATAGTAATACTCTCCACAAGTGTTTGCTAAATAGACAAACGGTAACAAGTGGCATATTCCTCCTTCACCACTTAAGACAAGGGCTTAAAGATTATACATCACATGACAGTCTTAACATCTTATTTTCTAGAAATTATGGGCATGTGCAACTACAGATAACCTTTCCCTGTCCCTTAAAATATATATGAAACCTTCATTGTTCAAGATTGAAATATTAAAATGATTAAAACATCAAGGTTAGGAGCCGGCCCTGTGACGCAGCGGTTAAGTTTGCACGTTCTGCTTCTCAACAGCCCGGGTTCCCCAGTTCGGATCCCAGGTGTGGACATGGCATCGTTTGGCAAAAGCCATGCTGTGGCAGGCATCCCATATATAAAGTAGAGGAAGATGGGCATGGGTGTTAGCTCAGGGCCAGTCTTCCTCAGCAAAAAGAGGATTGGCAGCAGTTAGCTCAGGGCTAATCTTCCTCAAAAAAAACACTAAACTAAAAACATCAAGGTTATATGAAAGTTCTAGAGTAAATTCTATACCAAGCTAAACCTGAACTTACACTAAATAAGCTTTATACATATATATCACATACATGTATACATCCATACACATATATAATACACACAGACATACACGATTTACCTAGTGCCTACTATAGAGCTGAATGCTTTATAAGCATAATCTCACTTGCACAGATTTTCAAGATATTATTTTAATAAATATATATATATACATTCAGGCAATCTACTGAATGGGATAAAACATTTGCAAATCATTTATCTGATAAGGGGCTAATATTCAAAACATATAAAGAACTCATAGAACTCAACAGCACAAAAAAAAAATCTGACTTAAAATGGGCAAAAGATCTGAAGAGACATTTTTCTAAAGAAGACATACAGATGGTCACAGGTACATGAAAAGATGCTCTACATCATTAATCATCAGGGAAATGCAAATCAAAACCTCAATGAGATATCACCTCACACCTGTTAGAATGGATATTATCAAAAAGATCAGAAATAACAAGTGTGGACAAGGAGGTGGAGAAAAGGGAACCCTTGTGGACTATTGGTAGGGATGTAAACTGGTACAGCCACTATGGAAAACAGTATGGAGGTTCCTCAAAAATTAAAAATATAACTGCCATATGACCCAGCAATTCCACTTCTGGGTATTTATCCAAAGAAAACAAAAAAACTAATTCAAAAAGATATATGCACCCCATGTTCATTGCAGCATTATTTATAATAACCTAGTGGATAAAGAAATTGTGGTGTGTGTACATATATTCCACTGGAATGGAAATATATATGGAATGGAATAAATACACTCCAATGGCATATTCCATTGTGTGTGTGTGTATATTACTCAGCCATAAAAAGAACGAAATCTTGCCATCTATGATAACACAGATGGACCTCAAGGGTACTATGCTAAGTGAAATAAGTCAGACAGAGAAAGAAAAATATTGTTTGATGTCTCTTACACGTGGACTCTCAAAAAAATTAAGTAAAAAAGCTAAGCTCTTTGATACAGAGAACAGATTGGTGGTTGCCAGAGGTGGGGGATGGGAGGTTGAGAGAAATGGGTGAACTGCTTTTGTTTGTTTTTTGAGTTTAAATAAATTGAATTTAAAAAGAGAGTGAGAAGACAATCTTCTCTGAGGGAAGACCGGCAAAGAGTGTGCCATGATGGTGCCCTCACCCCTCTCAAGCGTCATGTGCTCCTTCACACACTAAGGACTGACAGTACTCAACAAGCTCTAACAAGAGGCTCAGGATAACCACCATCCCCACACTCCGCCCAAGAAGAGAAGACTATTTGATTTCTAACAGCTCAACACAGATGATATTGGGAAATCTGTAGCCCTGAGGTGACATTAGTTCATTTCCAGAGTTTAGCTACAAGTTATGGTATATCAGGTTTCAAGGAAATTCATACTGGCTCCCATTAAACTATATGAGGTTAAGAAATATACTGGATTATTGGGGCATATATTCTGATAACCAAAATTACACACCAGCCGTTTGTCATATCCACGTGGGCTTTATTAAATCAAGGTTTTAAAGGCGAATGTATTGGCTGGAATTATATCATCACTGTCTTGGTTACAGCACAATTCATCTGGGGCAGGAAGACAGGGGGCTTTGATGGGTGGTGACTGTGAGAGGAGTGGGCTCCCTTCTCAATTGTCGCCGCAGCACAGCACATACTCAGGTGTCTGTCATGGGGGAACCAAGCAGCAAAAACCCCCATCACCATAAATCATTTTTTTAATGAACCAAGCAAATTCTCAGGAATGCAATATTAAAGTTGCAAATGTATTCACTGGAAAAGCAGAAGGTTAGCGGGTTCCCACAGAAAAAGGGAACTCTTCAGACACCAAAGGGCAGAAGGAGGGTATGTTCCTCTCAGCCTTCCATCAACACTCAAAGAGCGCCAATCACTTTCTTGGTTTTGAAGTCCATTTTCCCGATACACAGATCTTCCAGCACTCACACAGCAGCCTCAGCAGACTGGATGTTCAGAAAGTCAGAGCTGGGAGGGAATAGAGTCCAACTCCCTTACTTTTCAGAGAGATACCCTGGGGTGTTACAGTAGGGGTGTGGGTCCTCAGCAGAAAAAAAAAGATTATTTTCATTTTACAAATAAAGAAAACAAGGCCAAGAATTTAGATCACTTGCCTAAGGTCACATAACTAGTCAGTGGTAGAACTGAGTCAAACCAAGACCTATTCACTCACGCTGGGCCATCAGAGGAGCTGGGAAGAAACAAAAGCTCTAAGGGAGAGAGAAGTTAGAGATGGAGAAACTGATAATAGAACAAGCAGATGGTCCCTGAGAGGAGCAGCCAGGTGAAGAGTAGCAGAGCTTAGATAATGCAGAGTTCTGGAACTTCTAAGACCCTTTATAAGGGTCTCCTCCAGAGCAGGCCACCATCCAATTCTGGACTTGGAGGAGCCTAACCACAGCAAGCCACAGTTCCCATTTTTGACTTTCCATGAGATTCCCTCTTCCGTCAAGCCAGGGACTGCACTAATCTGAGTGTCTCTATTTTTCACAAACCAAAAAGCACAAACTTTAGACATTGATGCCTCACTGTAAGAATAACTGCTATAAGGATATTTCAAACCAACTGGGTATTTTTTTAAATTAGAGGAAATTGGGGCCGGCCTGGTAGCACAGTGGTTAAGTGCACACGTTCCGCTCCAGCGGCCCAGGGTTCACCAGATTGGATCCTGGGTGTGGACACGGCACCGTTTAGCAAGCCATGCTGTGGCAGTCATCCCACATATAAAGTAGAGGAAGATGGGCACAGATGTTAGCTTAGGGCCAGTTCTCCTCAGCAAAAAGAGGAGGATTGGCAGCAGGTGTTAGCTCAGGGCTAATCTTCCTCAAAAAAAAATAAAAATAAAAATAAATAAATTAGAGATTAATTAGTCTAAAAGAAATAAGCTAACAGCTAATCTTACTTATTCATTCATTCAAGGCAGTCCCCTAGAGACATACTAGGAACAGTGCCAAAAATAAAATAAGCAATCAGTGAATAATTACTTGTCAATTAATCTTGGTAATAACTGTCCGAATCAGAGAAATGGACCGGATGACAAAGTTAGTTTCAACTCGAATGAACATAGAATTATGTGAGATGGAGCAATTTGCTTTAATTATTTCAAATGACCATGTTTAATTAAATAATGTACTTTTAAAATCATCTGGAGACACATAATCATAAAGTTGATCCTGTTGTATTCAAAGACTTAAGAAAAGACATTACAATAAGTTTTTTTAAACCACAAACAAGCTCTCGGTTTTCTGGGACTATCCTTCTTTAACAATTGTACAGCTAGTCAAAGAAGAACGTTTTTTGTAAGTTCATGACCAAGAGATCCAGATTTCCAAATTTCCACAAAAGCATTTGTGAACAATCCTCTTTTATCTTTGTTTAATAATCACGATGTATAATCACCTGCATCTGGTTCTATATAACTGGCTGAGGCAAGAGGAATTCTTCATTCACCCACCTTAACTTCAGGCACTTCTAAGAGATGCTCTCTTAAGAATATTTTGTTTGCTGGTGAGAAGATGATAATCAAAAGACCATCCTGATTTTGAGAAATTACAAATTATCTCCTATGTTGGGCATACACTTAGAAATTTCTATGTAAAGTGTGCACTTCTTCTGGGCCTCGGCTGTGCTGGAGGAGGGGCAGGGGTCACCCATTTTCACTATAGGCAGGAAGAGGTCATCAGCCCCTCCAGTTACTTATGAATCTGCCTTTTTATAACGTTTTATAATAACTGCCTTAATACTATGAACATGAAACGGTGTTTTTCAATTTCCTCGCTATGTTGCCAAAGAACAGATGTCCTTACACGTAACCTCACTTATGTAGACTGAACTTGAACTAGGGAGACAGTCACTTAAGCAGAAACTCATTTTCCTGAATCCTTCACATACACTAGTTCTAATTAAGTATATACGTAGGAAAGAGTTAAGCTTTTAAACTTTACAACTCATTTTTCTCAATAAGCTAGAACCTAGCAAAAACAAAAGTCAGCCTTTCTAGGCTGCCAAATTATTCTTTATATGGACATTTTATATATACTATTAGGCAAATAAGCTTACTGTATAAGAACATTAAAACCATAACTTAAAATATTTAGCATAAATAATTTCAATAAAAGTGCTCCAAAAAACTTAGGTAACATTCACTAAATGTCCAATTTGTGATTTGGCAACTACTTAAAAAAGAAGATAACAATGATTTGTTATATCTCAGCTTTACACTCAATACAGAGAAAGATTATTTACTCTCTCCTTTAGTCATTACTAAACAAACAGGTTACACACAAAGCAGAATTATTTCTACTGAATTAAATATCTTACCTGCTACCCTCATGTCTGGTTTTTCAGTCTATGGCACTTTTCATTAAATAAGCTCCTAAAATCAAAAGAAAAGGCAAACATCATTAGGTTTAGAATGAGCACTCCTCCCAGATTGAGTTTGATTTGGAGTGTATATATTAAACCAATTAAGTAAATGTCATGACATTTCTAAGTATTCCATCAGTATTAACATTTAATGAGAATACTCTTAGCACCGGGCCTGGCTCCCTGCATTGGACCATAAAGGCTCCTGAGAGGAGGGTTGCATCTTACTGCTGTGTCTCCAGCTCCCTAAGTGAACAAACAAGTGAGGGAAAACCTGCCATCAAGCATGCAACTAGAAGATAATGCCTATTATTCTCAGCGATCATACATCTATAAGGAACTTTTGATATTTGTTCCAAACCTTCAGTCTGCAGCTGAGGTCCAAAGAGGTTAAGCTGCTTATCCAGTAACGGAACAAATTATTTGTAAAAATGGGGCTAGGATTTAGGTCTGCTGGCTCCTGCTCCAGGCCTCATCTTCAGTATATATAGGATGCCACTTCATTTTCAGTGTGACATAATTCAAGTGTCACTACGATAAGCACTTATAGCAAAGCCTTCTTATTTTAATACCAGGGTCCTCTTCCTCTTCAGGTTTTCAATTTAAGTTTGTAAAAGAATATATTCAGAAGTATAGAATTGCAATTTTAAATATTCCACCAATTATCACAGACAGTGCATGTTATATACCAACTGAAGAAATTATTCTTTGCTATTATTCTAATAACAAGAAAGAGATGCTGGAAAAAAAAATCTGTGTATGTGTACATGTTTTCCTTCTAAGAAATAACTCAAGATAGGTGACATTTTAAAAAGAAAATGGAAAAGCAAGTAAATGAGTTTGTGACAGGAAATTCATGCCCAAGTTTAGCTAGACAGTTTCCACAGTCTACTCAACCTATTGTACAGGAAAGGAATTCAACAGAAAATTTTGATTAATGAATTACATTAATCAAAAATGCATATTGCTTTATTTTAGACTGGATTTTGATACTGATGTTTCAGTCTTGATATCTGATCTAGTAAATCAAAGAATGCTGCAAATACAAATGACACAGCCCTGAAGGACACTGAAAAGAAGTGAGACATCCAGTTTTCTCACCCATCAAGAGGGAAGAAGCAGGGGTGGGGGTGGAGGTGGTGAGCACCCAAAGGACCAATGCTCTTATGCTAACTCCCTTGCTTCTGTCCAATCTACGCTGAAGACAACATCAACACTTAACCTAACACTGAAATGAGCATTATTGATTTCTTTTCCTTTCTTAGTTATCTGAACACCTTCCACATAACAGGAAAAGTCAATATTAAATATCTAGTCAAACTAACTACTTAGCCACAGGCTGGGACAATACTTAAAGCAAATAAGAAATACTGAAGTATCCACAAACCATCACATTAAAACAGAAAAAAAAAATTCTTGGCTTTTCAAATGAAAACCCCAACTGGTTATAAATCTTCCTTTGACTTCCAGCAAAACTGAACACTACATTCAGGACACACATATGCCTTTCCTCCCAGCTAATATTCCAAAATAACTTCACTCTTATCTGTGTGTGGTCTAGGAAAATTTCTCTGAAAGTGTGATAAGCAGTTGGGCAGACACTTGCTGTTCTATTTCACTGTTTCCATTACCTGCTGAGGCCACACCTGTACAATTACAGTCACTGCCTCATACATCTCCCACCCGTTTGTACCTGCCAACAAGCCTCCTTCTAAATTTAGCACTAGTAAGACCACAATATAAGCAACTAGCATAGTCTGGCTGAATATAAATGTTTTTCATTAAAATTTCTCAAACAACATTTAGTAAAATCTCTAAATTAAAATTTCATCAAATCTCGAGCCAGCTGTGAAGGCTTGGCAGTTAAAGTTCAGCATGCTCTGCTTCAGCAGCTGGGTTCAGTTCCCAGGTGTGGAACCACACCACTTGTCTGTTAGTAGCCGTGCTGTGGTGGTGGCTCACATAGAAGAACGTACAACTATACTCAACTATCTACTGGGGCTTTGGGGGGAAAAGGGAAGAAAAAAGGAGGAAGACTGGTGACAGATGTTAGCTTAGGGCAAATCTTTCCCTGCAAAACAAGAAAAAGTCAATTGAACTTAAAAAAAATCTCATCAAATCTCACTCATAACACATTTTTTAGTTAGGTCACTTAAGAAGCAAATTAATGATGCAAGAGTGTAAATCAGCATAAAGAAAGACTATTGAATATGGTTGAGAGCATCTGTTCACAGTGTGCTAATTCCAATTAATTCCTAATTTGTCTTCTTAGGAGGACATTTAAAAACAAAGAAAATCATTACATATAATCTCAGTGGGAACAAAGCAAAAACTTAATGGAATCTGGTATAAACCTCAAGCTGAACCTCCAACACTCAAGTGGGGATAGAACAGGTCCAGAGAAAATGAACCCGACAGCAACAGGGTAAAAAGGCCTCCACTAGAACTTCAGAGTTCTTTAATCCAGAGGCAACAGGTGAAAGAATTTATAATTTTAATACATTCATTAAAAGGTAGAGATACAGAAATTAGAGCCACTTACCAAAACTAGAATATTGGTGGTAGGAAGAGAACATTTTTAGGACCAATTAAAACAAAAAAAACGGAAACCCCGACAGTACATTTGTGAAATACATTTGTACCGAAAAGTGTAGCATAGATCAAAATAACAAGCTTCAATGTAATAACTGAACAAAATCAGGTTGCTAATATGTAAATTGCACAACCATCTGAGAGTCTACTGCAAGGAGGGCCACCATGACGCCCCTGGGCAATGAAAGACTATTCTGGATAAACACTAAGTAAGTATGCAATCTAGACAAGAAGAGAGCCTAAAACTAGGATCTCAGATTGACCTACTGGATTTCTTTGAATGTCTTGTAACTTAGACATTTCCTTTAGCCCAATATCTACTTTGGTCTAATTTAGTTAAGTTTTGTTGAAATCAGGCCTGAATAAATAGGTATCATCCTAGAATCAATCAACTTCAGGAATAACAGATAAAAACACAGGTCAAATGATACTTTCATTCTTTCCTTGAGAAGTGGACTTGACCTACATCAAGTGAATTACAAGAATACCGTTCTCTATCAACAAAACAAGCCATAAAAACAATTCTTTACCAGGAAGGGAAGGTCTTGCCAGTTAACATAAACTAGGCAACAATGCGTACAGCAGAGCAATTCACACACAGTCTTACCTTATGTAATCTTCCTAACAGGCCTCTATTTGGAGTGGGTATTACGCTGGCTTATAGACGAGGTCAAGGGATTTGTCTAAGGTCATATGAAGGGTAAGTAAGGAGCTGATACTGCAAACAACCCACTCCCTTTCACCCCAGCAGCTCACAGACATACTCTAAGAAGCTTGTTGACAAAATGCCATGCCATTGAATCTGGCTTTTGCAAATTGCTCTGGGAATTGCTAATCTCTGCTGCCAACTAACCACCCCAGAGATTTGACAGTTTGTCAAAATGACTAAACTTGTGAATTAGAAAAAAGACACAAGAAAATGAAGCATACAAACACACCCATTGACGTATTTAATATTAACAAACAACAGTCACTTAATTAAACCAGAAAAAAATACTACAAATTATACTCCACAAATACAAAGAAACTATCATCCAATTCAATCCAGCTTTAACTCAGTGGTGGCCAAATGCAATTTTAAATGAATCAACTGAGTGAAATTCAGATGATTCTAATATTCGTGTGAACTGGGGCATTTCACCAGGACTAGAAAAAAAGGTCAAAGAGCCAGCAGATAGACTCAAAGTACACTTGGGCACAGTGATAGTTAATCATATGTGTCAACTTGACTGGGACATCAAGTGCCCAGCTATTTGGTTAAACATTATTCTGGGTGTGCTGTGACGGTAATTCTGGATGAGATTAACATTTCAGTAAAGCAGTGTGCCCTTCCCGATGTCAGTGGACATCATTCAACCTGTCGGAGGCCTGAAGAGAACAAAAAACGCTGAGCAGGGAGAATTCACTCTGTCTATTATCTTTGAGCTGCGACATCAGTCTTCACCTGCCTTCAGACTTGGACCGAAACTTACGCCATCAGCTCTCCTGGCTCTTAGGCCTTTGGACTTGGATTGGAACTACATCATTGGCGCTCCTGGGTCTCCTGCTTGCCCACGGCAGATCCTGGGATTTCTCAGCCTCCACAACCATATGAGCCAATTCCTTACAATATTTCTACTGATTCTGTTCCCCTGGAGAACCCAGACTAATACAGGACCCTCCCCGAACCCCCCAAATCAGAATGTACAAGATTAAATGTTCAGTCCCAGAGCAGTTAAAGAGAGAATACTGAAATCAAAGGGATGCTAGAGGTCACCAGGGTAGGGTAACTTACTCTGATTTTCTGTTTACAAATAAAAGTATGTTACTAAAAAAATTATTTGCAAAAAATACCTGCAGTTATGCGAATAAAATAGAGCAAGTGTTGGCAAACTTTGTCTGTAAAAGGGCCAGGTGGTAAATATTTTAGGCTTTGTGGACTACAGTCTCTATTGCAACGACTACGTTCCGCAGTTGTAGCTGGAAAGCAGTCACAGACAATATGTAAACAAATGGGCCCGGTTGTGTTATAAGAAAACTTTATTTATGGACACTGAAATGTGAATTTCAAAAAACTTTCACATTACAAAATATGATTTAAAAAATTTTTTTCCAAACAGTTAAAAATGTAAAAACCAATTTTGGCTTGTGGGCCATATAGGCTTGTGGGTGGTAATTTGCCAACCTGAGATGGAGGAATAAAAAACCAAAAATTAAAGTAAAAAAAAACAACTTTCAAAATAAAGGAATAAAAACTTTCCTGATCACACCCTAATATTCTAACATTTCTTAGAGGGTTATTTGCAGGATATACAACTCCCACAAGGCTCCTATTGGTCCTCTTACAAGTACTACTAGGGAAGTAGGACAGATCAAACAACCCTAAATTCTGTGTTTTATACATTTTCATAATCAACTGCTCTCCATGAAAAAAGCATAGACTCCACAAGAAACAACATAATAGACCTTCTTCAAAAGGAAGGGAAAAATTCTTCTCTTCTTATAGATGAAGCTGTCCTTCTATAGCAAAGATGGGAATAAAATCTCAGCTCTAGAATGTTTTCCAAAGCAATCTCAGGACATATAAAGAAAGGGATAGAGGCTGGCCCCACAGCCTAGTGGTTAAGTTCAGCGCACTCCACTTCAGCAGCCTGGGTTTAGTTCCCAGGTGCAGACCTATACCATTCATCAATCAGTGGCCATGCTGTGGCAGTGTGCCACATACAAAATAGAGGATGACAGGCACAGATGTTAGCTGAGGGTAAATCTTCCTCAGTAAAAAAAAAAAAAAAAAAGAAAAGAAAGAAAACAGGGATAAAAATAATTAATCTTATTATTATATCCCATTTTATTTTATTAACTGTAAAATTATGTTGGTGAGGAGAAACTGACACTACTGTTGTCTTTATGTAGGTGTTCAAAAGTATTTTTGTGATTGGCTTAAAAAGTGGGTGAGTAACTTTACATCTGATGTTTGATCAACTTTTAAAGTTGCAAATATTTAGCTATAAAAAGCCCTTGTTTTAATAAAGTTATCACTATAGTAGATGCAGTTTGCTATCTAGCACCCTGTCTCACGCACATGCTTCCATACAAACAGCTCTGTCAGGCTGGATAAGTTTCAGGTGAGTAGAGTGCATTCATTTGAAAGAATCTTAACATTTAAAAACTTAGTCTGATATCTGAGCTGCTATCATATTATATTGTGAATATAACAGAATTTGGTATTATTAACACTTAATGCTTAAAAGAAAAAATCCATTTGCTAACTTGAGAAAGTATTTTAGTGCTAGTAGGAGATTCTGATACTGAATCATAGAAAATGGATTTTTAAAAAATCTACCATTTTAACACACGTCATATACTTTTTAAAATATGACCTGATAAAGACCAAAGGGAAATTTTTTATATGACTACCTAACAACCAAAAAACTACTCCAGGTTTTTAAATGACCAAACTAATCTTACACTTTGACTCAAAAAAAAAAAAAGAGCAGAAAGTATTTTCTTCATTTTGGGAAGGTGAAAGGAGATCTGTACGAAATCCATAATGCTAAGAATAACCACTTTTTTAAAAAATCACTGAGAAAAACATAAATGTATCCACTCTTTCTGCAAAATGACCTTCAAAAAGGTGAGATTACAAAGCAATAGACCAAAAACTTTTAAATGGTTCAACAAAACCGATAAATAAATCTTTTAGAACAAAATGTTAATGTCTACTGAAAACCTTGGGAAGAGAGGGATATGGATGCTCTATGCCTGGATTTTTAAGTTATCCGAAGTAGTAACATATGGTTTTTATTTTCTTAATAGTATTATACTGAAATTACATTTAAAAGAGGATTAGGGGCTGGCCCCATGGCCGAGTGGTTAAAATTCCACGCACTCCACTTTGGTGGCCCAGGTTTGCTGGTTCAGATCCTGGACGCGGACCTAGCACCACTCATCAAGCCATGCTGAGGTGGCATCCCGCATAGCAGAACCAGAAGGACCTACAACTAGAATATACTAGAATGTACCAGGGGGCTTTGGGGAGAAGAGGAAGAAGAAAAAAGAAGATTGGCAACAGATGTTAGCTCAGGGCCAATCTATAAAAAAAAAAGAATAAAAAATGATAAAATAAAACTATAATACCAACTTGTCTCTCCAGTTACAAACCGGTTAGTGAAGCCGCCCTGCTAAATCGCGCAAGCGCCCTACCTAGACCAACTTTGCCCCAATGACCTGGTGGACGGAGAAGTGGCCAAGCCTGACAGATCACACACACTATATTCTGAGAGCAAAAGCATTTCAACATGATTCATCTCAACGTTAAGAATTCCATGGTACAACTCCTTCCGTGTGACTGAGCTAAAGAGATGGAAAGTTCTTTCCTCTTCAGAAATTTGAGACATCAGATTCCTGAAATATTTCAGCTGATCAACAAGCATTTAACCATGTTTTCTGTAAATACTTCAAGAGATTAAAAACTAAATAGACACGTCTTCTGCTTGCCCTCCCAAATCTAACATAGCTAAGCAATTTTTTCCAGAAAAAGATGTGTCATTTTCTAAGATGATACCACTAAGCAGGCGGGGTCGCTCGTCACTGAGTGCTCCGGTGGGGGAAGATTTTGTCTAACCTACAGCATCCTCTCCTTCACTACCCAATGGCATTTATTTCTGAGTTGGGAGCCAGAGCATAGGTTAACTGACACAGGTTTGGTGCTTAACCTGACTATTGCCACTATATCCCAAAACCACTCAATATAGGACAGCAGGTGGCTCGTGTATATGCATATAATCAGCTAGCTGGCACTCATGAGGGTTATGGACTCTCTAACAGAGAAAAAGGAGCTTAAAAAAAATGACAGAAATCAAATGATCAAGCCACATCTGATGTTGACATGACATTAAGCAAATATTTCGATGGACTGTTAATTACAAAATGGAAATCACTGAAGTACAAAGAAGCTGGAAATAAGACTTCTGAACTGAACTATCAACATGTAAATGACTGGAAATGGGTAGGATGAAGATAATAACAGGGCCACATTGAAGCGCATGACACCCTACAATACAGCGAAGGTGCATTTTAGAGCAAAGTCATCAGTTAAATCTTCGTTACCAATAAATGTCAAGTAAGGACACCTTATATTAAACTCTATTACAAACAAGTATTTTACATGGTAAAAGGTCTGAAGAAATGTTGCATTATAATTCTTTTATCTCATAGCTTCTATGCTTCATAACAATCCCTTACCATAATAAGAGGGGCCTGTTGTTCATCAGGCACCTAACATTCTATTTCATTGATCCTAAGGTGCACACTACCCTTATTTTAACACCTCTTAAATTGGTATGAGGCTTATGAGGGGGATCAGAATTGGCCACCCCAAAATGTGCCTCTTTGGCTTGACTATTTGTAAGAACAAAAGACTCGGGAAAAAACTTTGACACCCTCCCCCCACCCCCCATCCCCACAACTGCCTAGAAGAATTTAAAGCAGAAGGGCCTGTTCCAGGAAGGAACTAATAACATAAGATAACTGTAATGTTACGTAAAACATGTCTCTCAGGTCACATAGTCTGCAGTTGATCTATTGACATTTCCATCTCCATATAAATTGCCCTCCACCTCCTTGGAGTCCCAAACTACTAACCCCAACATCCTCCTTTGTCTTTAGCTAAAGATGGTATTTAAGGAGGCAGCTTCTGATGAGCTGCTCAGTTTTCCCGGGGTTTCTCCCATGTATACATGTTATAAAGCTTTGCTTGATTTTCTCCTGTTATTCTGTCTCATGTCAATGTAATTCTTAATTCAGCCAGAAGGACCTAGAGTGGGTAGAGAAATTGTCTTCCTCCCCAACACTTACAATCATATTTTTTTTCCTCAGCAGTATATAAAATAATGGTGTACCTTACATACATCTTAGATTCAGTGAAACATCATATCTGGTTCTTTGAAGCCCTAGCTACCGTGTAACTCACAGCACGGACACTTCAATTACTGGTGGCCTTTTTAAAATGCAAATTCCTGAGCCCAAAATCCCTAGGAGTGAGGATGAAAACGGCCACATGTTTAAGGAGCTCCCCAGGTGATTCTCATTCCTGCTCAGATCTGAGCATCTGAGATCTACAGTACACCAATCCAAACACAGAGAAGTTTAGCGGGGAAGAAAGAGCCAGCCAGATCTGGGCCGGAAAAGCCCACAGGTAAAATTCATATGACAAGAATTTTCATTCTTTTCTTAACAATGCATGGAAATCAGCCTGACTCTGGGCCAGGTCTCCTGTGGAGGCGTGGAGGGAGAGGTGGGCAGTGAATAAATCTGGAAATAATGTGCGGAGGAGCAGAGCAGAGAGAACTCCTGTTTGCAATGGTTACAAGAGTGCGAGATTTAAAATTACCCAATGTTTTCTTGCAGTTTTTCCTCATCTAAAAAGCAGAATTTTGCTTTAAAAGTTGTAATCCAGTTGAAGAAATGAAATGGTAATCAGATTTCTGTAACTGAGAGCACAAACATACCCAATAGAAAACAAGGTAAAATGGCATTTGGTTCTGCCCGCTCCTTCAGAGTTCTACAATTGTTAATTAAATAGTTGTAACTTAAACTATCTTAATCCTACACTATACCATCCAGGAGAAAGAAGGACAAATGGAGGATGGACGGATGGAAAGATAGAAAGGAAAGAAAAGAAAGAAAAGAAATAGACAATGTTGAGAACAATGGTAAAAATAAAATGAAATATATTTTAAGAACTTGAACAGAAGTAGGGTAAAGAAGAGTCTAGTTCATACATGGCTACAAAGATTAGAGAAAGACACAAATTTACATAGAATATAACTATCCTCATCTCATGTAACTATTTTACATTGTATCATATGAGAAGTTACAAGTTCCTATGCTGAATAAATGTTTAAGTCCCCTACATATCCACTCCACTAATACTGCCTTTCACCAGCCTGCAGAACTTAACTGCACCAGGGCAGACATAATTCTGTCAAACTTTCTAAGTGTAGAAGGAAGAGCAGAGTGGTTCCATCTGCCCAAGGGCCCTGGATAGCATACCACTGCTACCACAAAAACAAAAATGCAAGTTAGCAGCCATTTGCAAAGAATAGGTACTAAGAAAGCTTCCAGGGTAAAAATTTCTGAATCAATGGAAAAATTCATTTTTGTTGACCACAGACCCTTCAAAACACATTTAATGATCACTTAACTGATGATAGATGGGATTGATAGGTAGTAGACCTGAAACCATGATACTGCCTTAATAAGCCTTGTAGAACTTATTACGAAAATCAATTCAGACTCATTGCTATACATGTCCATACAACTTTTTCTCACTAGCACACAAAAACTCACCAGGGTCCATCAATGGATGAGTGACTAAAGAAAATGTGGTATGTATCCATACATGGAATATTATTCAGCCACAAAAAGGACTGAAGTACTGATACATGTTACATCATGGATGAACCAACAAACATTATGCTAAGCGAAAGAAGCCAGACACAAAAGATCACACAACGTATGGCTCCATTTATATGGAATACCAAGAACAGGTAAATCCATAGAGACAGAAACAGAAAGCGGACTAGTGGTTGCCAGAGGGTGGCAACGAGGGGAAGAGGAATGACTGCTAATAGATATGAAGTTTCCTCTTGGGGTGAAGAAAATGTTTTAGAACTAGACAGAGGTGACGATGGCACAACACTGCGAATGTACTAAATGTCACTGAATTGTATTTTAAAATGGTAAATTTTATGTTGTATGAATTAAATTTTTGAAAAAAAGGAAATTGAAAAGAAAAAACCACAGTGAAAAGCAGATGAAAAATTAACTAGATTAGAAAAAGGGAAATGTAAGTAATATAAGAATAGCTTCAATCAAATGGAACAGGACAATGAAGAAGAGAATGCAAGAATACTGACGGGATAACGGTGGAAACTTAGAGGTACTGGAACAGTTAATTTCCTCTTCTGAGAGAAAGTCTGCTGACTGTATTTTTAAAATCTGAATAAAAATCCCCAAACCCTTTTTTTTTTTTTTTGAGGAAGATTAGCCCTGAGCTAACTGCTGCCAATCCTCCTTTTTTTGCTGAGGAAGACTGGCCCTGAGCTAACATCCATGCCCATCTTCCTCTACTTTATATGTGGGACGCCTACCACAGCATGGCTTGCCAAGCGGTGCCATATCCACACCCGGGATCTGAACCAGCGAACCCCAGGCCACTGAAGTGGAATGTGCGTGCTTCACCACTGAGCCACAGGGCAGGCCCCGGCAAATATTTTAAAGTTTAAAGATCTTGGGAATCCTGGTCAATCTCCCCAGTCAGATTGAGAAAATAAGGCATTGCCTGACATGAACTAATTTAGTCAATGCCATTCATGAAGTAACTAAAGGCAGAATTATTGCTTAAAATCCAGATTATCTAATCCCAAGGACAGGAACCCTTCTGAACTAAATTCAAGGAAAATTTCTACTATTGTACCAAGCTCTGAGCTAGATGGATTTTTGTGAGACCTGAGACCAAAAACCTTTTGCTTCTTGGGTATTGCACCTTTCAGCTTTAAGAAATGGGCATAAAAAATAAATAAATAAAAATAAAAATCACTCATGGCCTCAGAGAAACCAAAGTAGCTTTGTGAGGGTCCAGGCTGTCTTATTCATAGCACCCTATAATTACTGGCACATAGTAGGCACTCTCATATTTTTAAATGAATATAAAAACTTTTGAATACCTAAAATACGTGGTAAAAAAAAAAAAAAACACACAACAACTCTTATGATCCCTCACAGGGAACACAACTTGCCACCTATTCAACAATCTCCTAGCCCTTTGACCCACTCTCCAGTTACCTTTTCCTTTTTAACATATCTTCATTATGAAAAGATTAGTTACTTAGCAAGGCTTAAGGTAGCAATCCAAAGTAAAATTTTTTAACTGTAATAAAACATCACTTAAGTTTATTTTGAAAGCCACTTTAACCCAGTCTTATTTTGACTCCCTTTTAAACAGAAGCCCCGTACACTGGGGATTTGGAGGGAATCTGGCCCAAGTCCTTTTTAAAGAGCCCCATTTGTGGGTGATTCTGAGAGGTCCCCACATTGAGAATCACTGCCTTAAACTTTTTATTTCTTACTATCAAGAAACGCTAGTCTGTAATGAGCTGAGAAAACATTACACAGAATTTGTGCAACAAAGCTTCTAACACCTGTATAAAACTGAAAAAAACTCTGACTTAATTAGTAAACAGCCAGAGAACTCCAGAGGCTGACAGCCTTTAGAAAGAGGTTGTTAATGATCCGACTAAAACCAGATGCTGATTCTGCCAACTTCTTGTTGAATGGAATAAGTTATTAACTTTTATTTTCTAAGTTAAATGGAGATCCCTTTGTACTCTGAAATGCACTCTATGGACAACATAATGTTTTCCAAAACTTGGAAAACGTGACAGTACACCAATAGTCCTGCAAAGTGGTCAAGGGCTAAGGGGTCTGGGATCCAATGTCAGCATGAACCTTACTTAACGTCTAGGAGAAGTCATACTTTCATCTGTAAAATTGGGAGAGACAGATAAAAGGACCTATTCTTAGGGTTGTGAGAAATAAATGTGCAGATAAAAAGCACTTACCACAATGCCTTAGTAAGGAATCTAATATTATCTAGTATCATTTTATCAATATATTTCTGACTAAATGAAAAGGAAAAGGTTCTGTCAACTAGATAGCAGATCTGCATTATATGATTTTGTTTTTTTAAACGATGAGAGAAAAAATCACAGCTGCAGATCTCAACCTCAAATCGCCAACCCGTAACTCATATTAGTTAGATCTAAGGTCACCAATGGTCACACATGGTGGAGAAGCGTGAGGGTAGTAGGAAACGGATGGAAAAATAGAAAGAATAGCACATTCATCAACGATACAGAACATTGATGGGCTGGATAGGTTTTAAAAATAAAAAGTACCTCCAGTTTGGGAGACACTAAAACTTTACATGAGAGCTAAGAGACCCTCCACAGAGTTCAAATGCAACATCCAGCTGCATCCTCGCCTCTCTAGAGCGCTCAGCCCACGTTTCCGACCGCGCGCCCGGGTGCCAGCCCCCGCAGTGACAGCGCGCCCCAGGTGCCAGCCCCCCGGGGAGGCGCCCAGCCCGCGCGCCAGGTGCAGGCGCCGCCCCGCCCGCTGCGATCCCGGGGCGGGGGACGCCGGGAGAGGGATGCCCGCGCCGGGGCGGCGGCCGGGACCCTGGCCTGCCGGGCTCTGGGCGCCCCGGTCCAGCCCGCGCCCTCCCCGCGGCCAGAGGCGCCACGGCGACCTGGGCGCGCCCTTCGGCCCGCCCCCGGCCAGTGGTGGCGGAGGGAGCGAAGGATGAAGGTGAAGGTGGGTACCCGGCTGCTCGCAGCCTCCCTCCATCCTCCCCGCCCTCGGCCGCTGCTCCGTTCGCCTCCCCGTGCGTCTCACCGGCCTCCCCTCCGCCTCCCCGCCGTCAGTCCTGCCGGAGGCCGACGGGAGCCGTCGCCACCGCCTCCCGCTCGCTCCTCCGCTTCCTCCCGGGCTCCTCCCGCTGCCCCTCACCCCCGCGAGTGGCCAGGAAGAAGCCAGCTCGCCGCCGGGCCTCCTCCCCCGCTTCCCCGCCGTGACCAATGGGCCCCCGCCGCCGGGAAGCCGCGCCCGCCCCCTGGCGGTGGAGGACCGAGCGGGCGCTCCGGCCGGCGGCCGAAGGGAAGGGCCCGAGAGCCGAGGGAGGGCTCGGCTGTGCCGCCCGCCGCCCCCGGCTCCGCGCTGCGCAATCTGGATTTGCCACGTGGGAGCCGCAGTACTGGCGGCTGGCGCCGGGTAGCACCCAGGAGAAGAGGAGACGTGTCACTCCCTCCTTCCCCCCATTCACACACACTTTCATGATCCTGACCTTAAAGGCAGAAATTTTCAAATAACCAGTCCCATTCTAGAAATCCACCGGATAGGATTATGAGATGGTCATATCAACGATCTTGAGCAATTCTCTTTAGACTCCTTAACAGCTAGCTAACCTATCGTGAAAATAGTACCTGTCCGGAGCCCTAGAAGGTTGGCAACGCTGAACGTCTGACCCAAGGAGAAAACTAGTCCTTGTATTTTGCACATAGCTTTTGTTTAAATTATTTAGCAACACAACAGTTAGAAAAGTTTTTTTCCTCTACTCGCATTTTTTCCACGATTGTTCATAACTGAGAAGTCAGTCCAAATCTCACTATACAAAACCTGAGGACACGAAATTGTTTCATAATGCAGATCCAGATTCCAGAATAATTAATAACTATTAACTATCATTATTAACTATTCTTAGGTAGAATAGCGGGACAATACATGGTTGTAGAAATTAGACTGCATTGAAGAAATAATAGGGTTTGACCATAGTAAGTATTCTACCAAGTCTTAGCTTTCTTCCAAAAATATAAAACATAACTGAGATCATAGCAATGAATTCTGGAGTTTGTGTTGCATGGTAGAGGACGGAGCAAATGGATTCTGAGAGCCTTATTTGTGCCAAACCCTTTTGCTGGGGCTTTGGGTGTGTGTTCTTATTTAATGCTCACAGATGTTATTTGTGTATGACTTTAACAAATCAAAAAACCAAGACTCCAACACTGAGCTTAAATAACTTACTCAAAAATATAAGATAGTAAGTTGTAAAGTTGGAATTCCAGCCTAGTCCTTCCAGTTCCAAACAAACAAGGCACTTTGTTTTTCGAGGTACCAAAACCACAACGTTCACTGTCACCATGTCTCCCTAGTTCCCCATGTCCCAGTGAAAGAATTTACGAAGGCTCTTGAGTAGGGAGGTCAGGCCATATTTGTGAAAGAGCTTTTTGCTGCATAATCGAATTGGCCTGTGTGGAAATGACATATGCCATATGCCTAGAGCGCTATGCTTGAAACAATTTCTAGGCTGAAAGTATGTTTAATATTCCATTAGCCAATGACCATAATATATAGCTTAGAACCCTTCAGTAGGTGATGAAATTAATAATAGTAGGTCACAACCGACTTTTTGTTGTTGTTGATTCACTGAAATGGAATAGAACTAAAAAGTGAGTTCATAGCACAACTTGAGGTGAAGTATTGTTTCATGAAACATTTGTATAGTATTAGGTGTGGGTGACAATGTCCTGGGTTACAGTGTAACATTTCTTAATATGGATTACAGTGTTTAAAAGTTGGTAAATCACTGCTTTAGAAGACGTAATCAACCAGGTTTTTCACCTACCTTTTTATTTGGCAAGAGGTGGGGGAGGCAGAAGTCATCAGGATTAATGATTAAGTTTAGTAAGACTACAGAGAGCAAACCTTTGCAGCTCCAGCAGGCTTAATCCAAACAGGTATTGCTTTGTTACATAATGATAGATAATGAGCGTTTATATTTTTAAAGTCAATATTTATTATATATTTACTCTGTGTCAGGCTCTTTTTAAGCACTTTATGTATATTGACTCATTTAATCCTCACAACAATCCTTTAATTCAGAGGAGAAAAGTGTGAGACGGAAAGGGAGAGTTGCTCAAGATCCTGTGGTCAGTACCTGACTGAACCAAGATTCAGCCCCATATGCCCAGCCCCACAGCCCATCCCTTGTATGTACTTGAAAAGGAAAGTTCATTTCAAGGGTGCAGAGTTTTGTATAAAGCTACGACTTATATTATACTATTTCCCATATAAGGATTACATAATATTGCTAAATATAAAACTTGATGAAAAGCCTCCAAATTTTAATTGGACCCATTCTCAAGCAGAATATTCCATTTGGCACCAGTTTTCTGTATATGGAGGAGCAGATTGCCTGCAAATACGGCCGCCAGCATTTCCTCCCTTTCCTGTGACTTCATGCCGCTTTTACCATCAAGAGGTGGAGTCTGGACTCCCTGCTCTTGTTCTTAGGCTACCCCTCAGACTGGTTTTGCCCTTTAGACTTGTTTTGCCCTTTGCAACTGAAGTGATGCTGTGTGGCTTTTGGGTCTTGAAGCTTCCATTTTCACTGTCTTGGGATTCAGTCACCATATAAAGAAACTCATCTTGCATGTTTCAGCCCCGGCTAAGCTCCTGGCTGAATGCACCACATACGTAAACCCAGACATTACCAAGTGGGAACTGCCTAGTTAAGACCAGCCAGCCCACAGATTCTTGAGAAACAATTGTTTGTTGCTGTCTTAAGTTGCTAAGTTTTGTGGTAGTTTTTTTGCATAGCCATAGATAACTGAAACGTGGAGGAAAAAGTTTGTTAAAAAAAAAAGTTGACCTGCTCTGGGAGTAGGGTTACTTTAAAATATTAAAGCATGTTTATATTGGATTATAAAGTCAAACCTGTAGAGAGAGAACCGGAAACTTGCGTAGTTTTAAAAGAATAGCAGGGGGCAAAAACAGAGGTAGAATAATAAAAAGAAGAGTGAAAGCGTGGAATTTCAGACCTATACCGGGTTTAATGCCACACTCAGCTGTGGTTTGAAAACTGTCATTTAGAAGGTTCACAACAACGTGCATTCAGAACTCTCAAACTTCGTCCAGCCTGTTGCTGTAAGCCATGGGACACTGGCGTTAACTTCTTTCTTCCCACAACCTCCTTTCCTGCCGAGCCAGGCCAGTCATCACATGAGCCAGGATGCATCCTCCGCGTCTCGGTAGCCTCCACATTTCCCCACCTTGGCTTTTTCACAGCCTGTGTTGGCCTAGTGAGCCAGCTGGACTTTGCCTAAATGCTTCCCCCTAAATTCCCCTCCTTTCCTTTCCTTTGATGTGTTTACCATTTTAATATAAATTTTACCATTTTACCCGTTTTTAAATGGACAGTCCAGTAACATTAAGTACCTTCACATTGTTGTGCAACCAGCACTAGCATCCACCCCCAGAACTCTTTTCATTTTGAAAAACGGGAACTCTGTACCCACTAAACAATACCTGCCCGTTCCCCTGTCCCTCTAGCCGGTGGCAGCTACCATCCTACTTTCTATGAGTTTTCCTACTTTTAATACCTTATATAAACAAAATAGTGGTTTAAAAAGCTGATATGCCCACAGATTTCATGACATTTAATATATAAGCACACAGTCTATACAAAATAAGTGATTTAATTTACTATAAAACATATATATGATACAATGAGATCATATTATAACAAATGTATCATTGCATAAAGAAGGACTCTCGCTTTCCATCCATTGCTGCTTTTCTAGCAACATACAAGAAAATTCTAGATACCATAAAAATTTGGATTATTTTAACGATAGCTTTTTGATTCTACTCCCTAGGAGATTCTGGTTAGATCTTTTCATCTTTCAGTGTGGGAAAATTTGGCGTTTTGTCTTGGTTATAAATCATATTAAATGATATGCTGAATATGGTAACCCACATCTGAAATGTGTATTTTGGAATCATGACTACAAAGTAACTCCCATTTCCCTGAAATTATGTACAAGTGTGTATTATAAACAATTATTAAGATTATTAGTGGTTTCTTCAGAATAGTTTATTATTCTGTCTTATAAAATATTACTTCCTAGAAAAATTTCTGACTCAGCAGCATAATCTTTATATATTTTGGATATTAACCCCTTTTTGGATATCTGATTTTCAAATATTTTCTTCCAGTTGGTGGGTTGTCTTTTCATTTTGTTGATAGTTTCCTTTGCCCTGCAGAAGCTTGACATAATCCATTTTAGTTCTCTGTAGTCCATTTGTTTATTTTTTGTTTTTTATTTGTTTTATTTATTTCTTTGGTTTCCCTTCCCTGAGGCGACATGACATTGAGAAAGATACTGCTAAAACTGATGTCAAAGAGCTTACTGTGTATGTTTTCTTCTAGGAGTTTTATGGTTTCTGGTCTTACATTCAAGTCTTTGATCCATTTTGAGTTAGTTTTTGCATATAGTCTAAGATAATGGTCTAACTTCCTTCTTTTGCTTATGGCTGCCCAGTTTTCCCAGCATCATTTATTGAAGACACTTTCCTTTCTCCATCAGCATCATAATCTAAAAAATACTTTTTTGAAGTCTCATATGGCAATATTACCTGTTTGTAATACCAGGCAAAGATGCAGAAACCATGGATCACCCTCAGTGCAGACACACACACACACACACACACTCCCAGACACATACAGAAACTCCTTGCTTATACATAATATATACATAGTCTATATTTTAAAATACATAGTTATCAGATCTTGGGGAAAAGATACTTTTTCTTTTACTGCCAAAGAGCAAATGGGAAAATGTGACTACACCCCTGACATTCATATTATTCTAAGTAAATGAATGAATCAGCCGTACATTAAGTCATCTAAAAGCTCTTCTTTCCTCATCTCATTAAAAAAAAAAAAAGTTCACCAGAAAACTGTGAGAAGAAACAACTGAACAAAAACTGAACAAAGTTTGTGTTTTCCTAAAACATAATTGCTTCAGTCTGTAACTTCAGTTCTTGATTAAGAACTGAATATAGGAACCCTTTAGTCTAAGCACAAAATGATTTACTGTGACTGTGGTATTTTTATTAAACATTAAGATCTCTGGTTACATTAAATTGAAATGCGTTGTTTGCTTTGAAAGGCAAAGCCTAGGAATATGGGTAACAAAATATCATCC